ATGTCCTTTAATGACAAGCAACAGAGGCAGACAAGGAACAAGAAGAAACGTGTCAATCCCACCAGTTACACACACAGTCTGACCTGAATGGGGTCGACAATGCCCTGGGATTTCTTGCCAAGCCCCATGCCCTCTGACCATCCCATCTTCTGCATGAGTTTATTGCCGATGTTTTCACCGCCAAGCCCTGCCTTGGTTGGCTCTTCATAACTGTAACAACCAACACCACCTTTGACTGCAGGACTGGCAGAGATTCCATCACCAACAAACATTTCACCCATAGCTTACTCTCCGACATCGTCACCCATCAACATGAGAGGACTCCGATGCTCCATCGTATAGCAATGGAGTAAAGTTTTGGATACATATTAAATCTTGCCTCCTGGACAATTCTGGTGTGATGAACTTACACTGCAGGTGCCTGATAACGGTTTCTCGGTTCAGGTGGTTGAGGAGCACCGTATTTCTGACGTCTCTCCTTTGCTCTGTCTCGATACTGAAACAAGTAAAGGAGTTCGATTAGCAGAAGGGCACATCTGGTCAAAACAAGTGTTTACCACAACAATGGCTAAGACCCACGCCGTAAACAGGACAGAATAATTTGTGACAATGGATAGTATTTCACCTGTATTGGTATTATTATTCTCATTTGGAAGGCCTATTCAAAATTAGTGGTACTGGTATTTATCTTAAGATTTGTTTGTTTAATTCTTGTTCAACGCCGCACTCAGCAATATCCGAGCTATATGACGGAGGTCTGTAAATAATGGAGTCTGGACCTGACAATCCAGTGATTGACGTCATGAGCATCAATCCATTCAATTGGGATGAGATTACATGCATCAACCAAGTCAGCGAGCCTGACCACCAAATCCCGTTAGTCGCCTCCTCAGATAAGCATGGACACCAGAGCAACACAATCATTATTAGGTATAAAGAACAAGCTCCATTTATTTTCATTTATGGTGCCAAATCCATGCAGATATTTAGGACATATTTTTCTAACAAACAGTAAATTTGTCAAATCCTTATCATGATATTTGAAATAAGGTCTGCAAACACCCCCAAAACACATTGGCACATAATCCATACTGCAGTTGTGGAGATAATTCACAAACAACATGTGGGGGTGAGGGTAACAAGCAAATAATCAAAATATTCCTGGAGACATGTCTGATTGTTGTTTGTTTTTGGGAAGAGACCAAAGCTCTAGAAACACTCAGGAGTCAAGCTGCCGAATGCAGCCCTCCTCCAACTACTCTCTAAGACCAACATTGCTTTAGTTCACCTTACTTGTGACCTGTGGGCTACACACAGGACCACATGCCACGTAGAGTGTTTAGCCTATAACACTAGTTTCTTACCTCTTTCTTTTCTTCACTTCCTACTTTACTTCTTTGTAGAGATTCTAGATTTTGCTGCAACAAAAAATGTATAAAGCACATAATTTAGTTGTATGACGTTTAGGGTACAACATCTTATTTGATCTTCAGTGAAATAGTGTTAACTCGATAACGACATAATCCTGACTTTTGTTTAAGATGATGTGAAGTGATCCTGGCAGGCTTCTAAGCTGCACTGTCTTATCTTGCCACTGTGTCAAACTACAAGTAATTCAACACACACCTAATGACCCCAAAGAATGTTTATCTAACAAGATATCCAATATTGCATTTGACATGAATAATCTATCACTGTATTCAGCATTTTATCATTTAGCATGTATTTCAAACATATATTCTTTACAAATACTTCAAATTCCTACATTTATAACAAAATATATTTCTAATAAATACTTCATATATGTAAATCTACAACAAAATATATTCCTAAAAATACTTTTGATATTCCTACAGTCACAACAATGAAGTTGATTCCTCAAACATATTCCAAAAGAGTCCAACTCTCACCTTGTGTAAGTCTGAGAACTGCATGTGTTTTGTCAGGATCTCCTTTGACTGGAACTGTCTCTTGCACAACAAACAGGCCAGTTTGCCCCAGTCCACCAACTTTGTCTCGTCTAGACGTCCTGAAGACATTGCAGCACCCTGACTGTCGTCATCCTCCTCCTCGTCACTGTCTCCGCCGTAGGATGCCACCAGCCCGGGCTTGCTCCCTGGGGGAGGTATAGCCACTTTCACACCACCACCCAGCTGTGGAGGAGGGAATCAGGGTAGTGTTAGAAATTATGACTTACAGACATGGGGTTTTAATTACAAGGTAAAAAGTGAGCAGGACTCATTAATACCCCCGACTTTGACTCCAACATTACATGAAAAAGCAATATTTTCACAACATCTTATTTGATCTACAGTGAAATAGTGTCAACTCGTTAACGACATAATCCAGACTTTTGTTTAAGATGACGTCAGGTGATCGGATCTTCACGGGTCACATGCTGTTATAATAAGACAAGTTCTACATAAAATGTGTTGATGTCTTACCAAAGGTGGCGGTGGCATCAACTTCTTGTCCTCCCCCTTCTGCAAAGATGGAGAAGTATTAGCAAAATGCAAATTACAATGAGTAGATGCACTAAAATGTCTTGATTACTGAAACCTTTTGTCTTGTCCTCAAAATGTTTTCTCCATACAAGGCTCACATGCAAATATTTATACTTCAACACGATGATACACCTGTTTCACCAGATACACAACATAAAGAATATTATGGGATCTTCAAGAACGTACAGTTTTCTCCAGGATGGCAAATCCTGCATCTGCTGTGGCAGACTCTCGCTCTTCCTTCCTCATGCCGCCGATGCCTCCAGTGTTGATGGTGATCTTCCTCGTGCCCTCCTTCATCATCTCCTTCTGGGCATTTAGAGACTTGGCCCATTTCTCCATGTCCTGAACAGCCAGAGACACAAAGCATCAAATCTATACCCACACATAAAAGTACTTGCCACATATAAGTGCCATTTTTACATTTAAGGGGGGTTTGCTGCTGTGGTATTTGGTTCTAGGGACCCCCTAAATCTGAAACTTTTAACTTTAGGATAATGCCAAGCTCAATTTCAAAACATGGAGTGTATGAGTTTTTTCCTGTTCTTAGTATATTTATCGCCCTCACTTATAATGTAAACGTCAGTTATTTCTCAACTCTTGACTTTTGTCAATAGTCTTCCCTAGCTACTGGCAATTTCTACACAGTGCCCTCACCAGTCTAGCGACACAAGAACATTACAGTATATTCTGCATGAGGTAAACCGGAAGTTTACATATCATATTAGCATCTAAATATAGTAACTTCCTGATGACTGCTTACATTAAATAGTACCACATTCCTGATGACTAATCACTGCCAAAATACAATGCAATGAGTGTCTAGAGAATCTCAACAGAAACAATGTAAAACAGTCACAATCATTGTTCAACAATAAAATACACTGCCATATAACAATATACAAAATGCAGTCAAATCGGGAAAGTAAATCATAACTAATGGAAATTTACATATTTACATATCTTCTAGCACCAATAGTGATATGATATAACGAGACCCCTAGAAAGCCTGAAATTCTACTGGCCATAAGGATACCTGTAACACTAGACGAACTGTCTCCTGTTAGTGGGCTTGTGTCAAGTTGCAACCTGAAATCCCAGACATGTTTCCAAGCTGCCACAATGTCCATCCCAGCAAGTAAATGGGGTACTTCTTGCTTACCTTTGCTATTTTCTTGGCTATCTTGACCTTCTCCTTCTTGTCTTTCTTATCCTTCTTGTCTTCAACTCCATCAAAACTGAGCTCTGTTTGTGAGGGTGCAGGAAGATATGTGGACTTCTCCGCGTCCCAGTACATGAACTGTTGGGTTTGAGGGTTGTAGAAATACTGCAATGGAGAGACATCATCAAGTGTGAGTTAGTCCGTCAGTACTCAGACAAAACAAAATTATACTATGCTTGGGTAGCTGAAGACTCAAGCTGAAAACCAAACCAAACCCCAACTTGTCAAGTGCTACAACTATCCAAGTGAGTGAGTATGGTTTTACGCCGCTTTGTGCAATATTCCAGCAATATCACGGCGGGGGACACCAGAAATGGGCTTCACACACTATACACATGTCGGGAATCGAACCCGGATCGTCAGCGTGACGAGCGAATGCTTTAACCACTAGGCTACCCAACCGCCCCGGATATATGGAAGGTTTTGGGGCTATAGAAGAGGATGAAGGTGTGACAAGATAATCTCTCACACATTTCATCCCACAGTTTCATCTGAGAGTACATCAAGACCAGCTTTCGCATGAAGATCACCCTGGATGCCAAGCCTAGGCCCATCTCGGAAGCTTGACCACCGTCTCCGCTTGGTGAATATGTATTATTATCACTGACTTTTGCTATCACCAGTGTATTTTTGTATTTAATACTGACCACTGCCATCATATTATATACTGCCACTGAATATTGTACTACCACTCTATTGTGTACTGTCATTGTAATTTGTAAACCTAATGAATTTTGTAGTATATTTGTTGAATGTATACCATTTGTTGGTTGTTGGTTGGTTATACACCAAGTTCTTTTAGGTACAGATTTCTGGGTTAACATATTGTTTAATTTGGAAATTGACACGTAACACCATATCTGAAACCAATACGGTAGCTGTGTATACCAAATATGCAGCAACTATCATCATGGACTTGCCCACAAAACCACTAATCTCTGCGTCAAATATGTGGATTCTGATGTACTGTGAGCCCTGTATGAGTACATATCGGTTGGTTTTCCATGTATCATGAGTCAAATCAAAACACCCTCCATCTAGCCAATAAAGCTTAAAATCGACTTTGTACACTGGGGCATAAATCATATTGTCACACATCCCCAGCATGGAAACCTCGACAAGCCATTCAAAAAGACTTTATGATAAAGCATCTCCAAGCACCTGTGAGGCAAAGTTTCGGAAACAAAAGATTTCCAAATGGTTATAACATTATCAGGTGCTGAATCACGGGAACCATGATGATTGAAGCAGGTCAATAGAATGTTTGTAGTCAAGCAAAAGCCTTTTTCATAAAAGTATTTAATAATCCTTTTCAGTAACAACTTGTTGTAACATCCAGTCATATCAACTTTGACCCTTTCAACACACAATCATCTCGATCACAGTTATAATAAATGTTTCATACATTTTCTTTCACTGCTTGGCAGATATCATTCTTAAAAAAAATAGCATCAAATAGCACTCTATATTGAGACAACTAATCAAGTCATATAAATCAGAACTGTCATTTCAACAAGTGCAAATGTTACAGGTTCAAATCTAGTCATTGCAGTCACATCCACGTCATGTCACTAATGTTCATGACCAAAACTAAACATGTGAACTCAACAACCAGTGATCTACGGACTGATCTGATGATCAGAAACAGTGTCTGGTTTCTTAATCCATGCACCTCTGAATTCACAAGTTTGACATCTCTGCTATAAGCTAGTATTCCTTATAAGTCAGTTTGATATGTTAATGGTGATACCATGGCATCTGTCAGTTATCTACTCCTTTTTTTCTAGTTCCATGAGCTGTCTTGATGCCTTTTCATTTGCCTGCTCAAGAAGAATTAGGTATTCATCCGTCCAGGACAAAAAACATGTCAGTTCTTTCTCTGTCCTCCCCATTCTTGGAAGCCGTATTGATGGATGAGCAACCTCAATGATCCGTGGACGTTTAGGTGCCCGGCTTTTTCTGCTACCTTTTGGCTCACCACTGGAGTAATCATCTTCAGTGGCTGCTAGCGCTTTCCCAGCTTCCTTCACCTTACTGCTTCGTCTTGACTGCCTGGATGTCTGTCCACTCAAAACAGTCCTTTTCTTAGTCCCCTTCTCCTTGGGACCAATGCTTCGTTGACTGCTAGATTTAGTGACATCCTTTGTTATTACTGCTGTTTTCTGATTTGCCTTGGGACCAATGCTTGGTTGGGTGCTAGGCGGAGTGACAATCTTAGTTAATACACCTGTTTTCAGCTTCTTCTTTCCCTGTGAATCAACACTTGGCTTCCTGCATGGCTGCCGACCAACTAACACAGATGTTTTCCGACTTTGTGTTGGCTGCCTGTATGACTGTTGACCAACTAAAACAGACATTTCCTGATTTCCTGTTATCTTCGGATCAATGATTAATGCACTATTATCTTCCTTCTCCAAGGAACTCGTGACAACACAAGCACCCTTTGTGACAGACAAAACACTTGATCTGTTCGCTGACTTTGTGGCACTGCTTGAGGAACATGCCTCACTTTTAGTCAAATCGCTTTCAGCTTCTTTAACATGAGCAGAAATGACGTCTGTAATATCAGTCTTTTCAAACTTGTCCAAACCTAAGATTTCTTGCGTGAAAGGACCTGGATCTATGAACTGTTTGTTTGGAATACTTTGAGTTTCTAAACACATACCATCAATAATATATTGTGTGTAATTGTGCTCTTTTTTCATATGTAGTTTGAGAACATTTTGATCAAGTACAATCTCCATGCAATCAGGGCAATTATACATTAATTTTTTAAAGGTGTGTATATTATTCCAATGATCCCTATAAGCCTTCTGTGTAGTGACAACATAGTTGCAGTTTGGTATTGGGCACTTTTCCATTTCCAATATTGACTGTTTCCGTAGGTGAATAGAAGACTCATTAGAAACTGCTTCAGTCTCCGGAAAACTTTTCCCTGTCATCTCCGAAGTTCCAGCAACAGTGCTACTCTGGGCAGTCTTAAATTGCCTAGCATCAGTAACTACATTTTCAGACACACTTGCTTTTGAAGCATCCTCGTCACGGTTTGAGGGAAGCTTGTCAATGACACTTGAACTTTTCTCAGTTGCAGCCGTCTCTCTCCAAGATTCTAAACCCAACATCTCCAGAGTATAAGAACCTGGATTCATGAATATATTGTTTGGAACTTGGTGCATTGTGAGGTCCATGGTTTCTAGTTGTTTTATTTTATACTCGTGCTGCTCTGTCATGTGTTGCTTGATAACAAGTAGATTATTATAAGTACTGCTGCACTGTGAACACTTGTACACTTGATGCATTTCCTGATGTTTCTCAACCCAGTGTCTCCTGAAGGCATCCTGACTTGTGATAGCATAGACACATTTTTGTACTGGGCAAATTCCCCGTTTTCTAAAGGAATGCCACACAGCATTAGATGAGGGTTGAGTTCCTTGTTGAGTTCCTTGTTGAATTGCTGGTGGAGTTGCTGGTGGAGTTGCTTCTTGAGTTTCTGGTGGAGTTTCTGGTTGAGTTGCTGGCTGAGTTGCTGGCTGAGTTGCTGCTTGAGGTGGTGATTGAGGTTTTGCTTGAGGTGTTCGTTGAGTTGCTGGTCGAGTTGGTTGTTGAGTTGCTGGTCGAGTTGGTTGTTGAGTTGCTGGTCGAATTGGTTGTTGAGTTGCTGGTCGAGTTGGTTGTTGAGTTGCTGGTCGAGTTGGTTGTTGAGTTGCTGGTCGAATTGGTTGTTGAGTTGCTGGTCGAGTTGTTGGTCGAGTTGCTTGTTGAGTTGCTGGTCGATTTGCTGACTTGGTTGTTGAAACCTTAGGTTTGTTTCCCATTACATGTTTGACTGGTTGTGGTGGAATATAAACAGTGTTGACTTGGATTAAATTGGGGTTGCTGTGCTTCTTCCGCTTTGTTTGTCCTGAAAATACTGGTGTGCTTTCAACCATGGCTGGTGGTTTTCCTTTTACCCCAGCATCGCCTTTCACTTGGGTCTCAGGAGCTTGTACCTGCAACACAAAGAGAAGACACTTTAGTGAGCTGGAAAATGAGTGTGTGTGCTCATTAAGTGAAGGATTGTAATGACATTGACCATACAACTCACTGAAGTTCACCTACAGGCACGAATCCTATATCAATGCAGAGGATCAAAGAGAACATTTGTAGAAATATTTGCACACGAGATAAGTTAGGTAGGTAAGTAAATTATGCAAGAAAGGTACAGCCACACACATTTGGAATTTAGGGCAACAACGAAAATGTTCAGTCCTGAGTGGGTGAACATTGAGTGAGTTGGGTTTAACGCCGCTTTTAACAGTATTCCAGTTATATCACGGCGTGTCAGCTTAATGTGGGAGGAAAGCCCGAAGTGAAGCAGGTCTCTGACGTTTACCACTTCGGTGAAACCCACAAGCACGGGTATGGTTGCTGACAAACCTAGAAACATAATCAGGGCGAACCGGGATTCGAACCCACAATCATAGGTTTCTGGCGTGCCCAAGGGACGCAACTCTGCACAGCGAATCGCGGCGCCTTAGACAACTGGGCCACCCGTGCCCCCAGGGTGAACATTGCTTATAGTCAGTCAGCAGTATTCCAGGAATTATATAAATCTGGGTGAGGAAGACCAGCGACTGTAGCAACAAGAAACAATCAATGTTAACAATAATAAGCCAATAGCCAAGACACCTCACAGCACATACTGGGGTCGATTTGACTGCTGGCCCATTGGCCTGTGGCCAGTTAAAATTACAAAGGGCTTGCTGAAATGTAAAGTAAATGGCCCGTCTGGCTAGTCAAAATTTCATCCCTACTCGTGTATGTTTAATGTTATTAATTGGATCGTCTCAGTAGGATGACAACTGGCTGACATTTTGTAATGTTGTGTACAACGACTACTTCATCTGCTTATATAGTGCCATGAAATGAGGCAAATGGAAGCCAAAAGTTAATCTTAGAGTGCAGAGAAAAACGTTTTAGGCATGAGGAATTCTAAAATTTTCAAAGCCCTGCTAGCTGGCTACGTGACCTCAGGTACGGCCATTTCGTGGCCTCTACCATGTAGTTGTAGGCCAGTTTGGAGAAGGGCCAGTAACATTTGAAAGGAGCAAGCCCTGCTGGCTACACACAAATTTGTTGTTAAATCTACCCCTGCACATAGGTTGAGCGAGTTAAAATTTAACGTCCCATCGCCAATATTTTAACTATAAAGCAATCCTGCACATAGGAACTGTGCCACATGTGAGGTGAGGTGAAATTGGGTTTAACGTCGCATCCAAGATTATTGCATTTATATAGCGACGTGCATGCACGTGTATGTGTGTGTGTGGCTGCTTGTACTAGTCCGGACTGATGCCGATTTATAGTGCTAGCTCACTGAGATACCATGCCGCAGTTTAACATGAATACCCCACTCAGACACAGTATACTGACTCCGAGCCGACCAGTCCTTGTTTTAGCCCCTTAATGCCGAGCGCCAGACAGGGTAACAACAAGTACAATCTTTTAACGTCTTTTTGTATGACGCGGCCCGGGATCGAACCCTGGACCTTCCGCTCTCCGGGCGGACGCTCTACCACAAGACCACGGAGGCGGTCTGTGCCACATGTACCAAACATGCATATGTCCCTATTACTGCTTCACATACCTTCACTGGCTGAGGACACACTGTATTTCCAGGATCTACATAGGCCTTGTTCTCCCTAGTCTCAGATTTCGACAGTTTCAGCAGCAGATCATGTTGCTCCCCCTTGATCCCGTGGACTTTACAGATGTGTGCTGTGAAAGCATGTTTGGAAGGGTAGGCCTTTTTGGATCGCTGAAACTGACACTTGGGGTGAGGACAGCTGTATGTAGTGATGGTGGGCTTGTGGACGCTTGACCAATGGTCCCTCAGTTCTACCCATACAAGTTCAACACTGCAGCTGCTTACTGGGCAGGGTACCTGCAAGAAACAAAGCTGTTCATTGTACTTCCTCATCAAATATTAAACACCGATCAAGGCCTCAAAGTTTAATTTTTTTTACAAAGAAGCCGTATGGCTACAAATATTTTTTTCCAGGTAGCCAGTGGTAAAATCAAGAAGTCAAGCCAATATTGTAGGTAGCCAAAGGCATTTGAAATTATCTTTTATCAAATAACTATTATAACATGCATAACACTAAGTCATAACACCAGTCTATCCAATGAGCTAAAATACTAATCAACGTACATTAATATATATGTATATCTGTTCATTGTCGACTATAGGAGGTATTATACGCGAGTACAATTATCAGCAGATATTTTTTCCACAATCAGCTGTTATTTATTTTTGTGTCTTCAAATGCAAAGCAATAGAATTTAGTCGCCACAAGATATTTTTCATAGTAGTCATTTGGCTACCTCTGAATTTTAGACAGTAGACATATTGAAATTTAGGTCGAATTGGCGAACGTTTTAGTCTCAACTTTGAGGCCTGTGATCTTTGATGATGCTAATACTTCCTTGTCTGTTACGAGGTACCACAAAAGCAATAGGGCAAATGGAATAGAATAACATCTGTCTTTAATAGAGTTGTAAAAGATTTAACCATCACCGAAAATAAACAAATTCTCATAGGAATCTGAATAATTTCATTACACTCTCTTGAGCTAATAAAATATTTCAGTTCTATCTACTTCTAGTTCCAATGGCTTTGTTATGAAACATCAAGACGCAAGTCATTGTACATACCTGCCATGTTCTTTCTTCAATCATTATCTTCCACACTTCCGCTTCTGAACCCGCGCATAAAAGTCACAAAATGACATCGTATTTCGTCTGTTTCTGACAGAATACCTCATCCCATCGAAACAAAGTAGTAAAAGACTGACACTTTCAACAATTCTACTGGTAGGGTACACTAGGGGTTTTATATCTGCAAGTTCCAGTTTTGACCTGGAAACATCTTTATAAACAAAGGTTCAACGTCTAAAGCTTCTAAGTATGTACAATGACAAGCTTAGTAAAATCTGAATACTTTTTACATTTGGATACTTTTTCTACATTACTACCTTAATGCTAGTACTGCTGTTTTTTTACTTCGGAGACGGAGCTGTAAGAGGTGCTGGCTACAGAAGTTGTTGTACCCACTAGTTGTGTGGCTTCCTTCCTCCCGGGGATATGCTGGACAATGAACCTCATGTGTAGTCGATCCACTAATTGGAAGTGAGTGAGTGAGTGAGTATGGTTTTACGCCGCTTTTAGCAATATTCCAGCAATATCACGGCAGGGGAAACCAGAAATGGGCTTCACAAATTGTACCAATGTCAGGAATCGAACCCGGGTCTTCGGCGTGACGAGCTAACGCTTTAACCACTAGGCTACCCGACCGCCCCACTACTAGAAGTACTGGAAGATCTGAGATAGCAGGGATGATGAGTGAGGAGTTCACAGGTTGCACAGACACCAGGCAACTGGGATGTGTCTGTGGAAATGGCAAGTATTTGGTGCTGATGCCGGGACTACCAATGAGACAGTGATGAGTTCTAATTCTAGATTGTTTATGTGCCATCAGAGTCGAATGTTTGACCACAGCCTGGAGGCAGTCCTTCAGATGAGCCCACCAGCCGTCATGATGCGTCAACCAACAGGTGGAGGGAAGGCTTGAGCACTGTCAAGGAGACATCATCACAGAAATCTTACTGTCCACCAATGAATAAACAGGGCCAGAAACATCTGTAGTGGACGTAGTCTGCCTCTGGCTGTCTGATCCTGAGCTGATGTGAGAAGACCCATTAATACCTGCCATTGATGCAGAGTGTGAGCTTAGTGAAGGGCAGGAAACAGATGGTGCTGCATTTTGTGCCCTACCTGGTGTCTCGTACCAGGACTGCAGAACAGGACGCCTATGAACTGGAGCTTGAATGACTGAGTGAGGTACGATTTAAGCTTGTTGACAATCCATCCCAGTTGTGCAGGTAGATGGGTGAAATCCCTGTGAAGTAGAAGGGTCTCTGTGTTCTGATGAGTCAGTAGGCAGTCGATGATGTAAGACTCAAACTGAACATTCCTCAGGTATGCGGAAATTGGCCTTGTAATCCGGGTAAATAAGCATGGGGCCGTGGAAATACCAAATGGGAGGACCGCCCACTGGTAGTGTATACCCTGGAAAAAGAACCTAAGGAACTTTCTGCAACTGGGTTGGATGGGCACATGAGTGAGTGAGTGAGTATTGTTTTACGCCGCTTTTTGCAATATTCCAGCAATATCACGGCGGGGGACACCAGGAATGGGCTTCACACATTGTACCCATGTCGGGAATCGAACCCGGGTCTTCGGCGTGACGAGCGATCGCTTTAACCACTAGGCTACCCGACCGCCCCCGATGGGCACATGAAGATGAGCGTCCTGGAGGTCGAGACTGATCAGGGAATCGCTGGCATTGATTCTGGTCAACGTAAGTGAAAAAAGTAGGGAGGACGTTCCAGGTAGAGCTTGTAGAAGATGGCAAGATTGTGTATCATCTAAAACTTGGATGAGTCCTTCTTGGGCATAAAAGCACCTCAGTGTCAACGTGATCAGCTATCTCCGAAGTCTGAGAAGTGTCCCTGTGGTCGGCCATCTGGGGATGTCTGCAGTTGTGTTGTTTTCTCAAAACCCTGACATATACAGCGAAATCACTGGGGGAGAGAACTCGCTTTAACCACTAGGCTACCCGACCGCCCCCGATGGGCACATGAAGATGAGCGTCCTGGAGGTCGAGACTGATCAGGGAATCGCTGGCATTGATTCTGGTCAACGTAAGTGAAAAAAGTAGGGAGGACGTTCCAGGTAGAGCTTGTAGAAGATGGCAAGATTGTGTATCATCTAAAACTTGGATGAGTCCTTCTTGGGCATAAAAGCACCTCAGTGTCAACGTGATCAGCTATCTCCGAAGTCTGAGAAGTGTCCCTGTGGTCGGCCATCTGGGGATGTCTGCAGTTGTGTTGTTTTCTCAAAACCCTGACATATACAGCGAAATCACTGGGGGAGAGAACTCACACCGCGGCGGGATGTGGATCCTTGGCTGATTTATTGCCCAGGCAACGTGACATTTAATTATAACGAAATAGACAAGTGTTTCAAGCAGAATAGACACACATGTTGTCAACAAAGATAGATGGGCACGTAATTGAAACTTATGAGAAATTACGATAAAAGAGTATAACTATACACTTGGAAGACCCAGAAAAGAAAAGTATTTAGAATTTAAACAAGAGCTAAAATAGACATATTGAATTACCAAAGCACAAGACATGTAAACATGACAACTTGGCAAAACAAGATGGTGGCAGGCACAACAAACTTGTGAAGTAAGCGCGGGAAAGAGCCAAAGTCAGGCAATAATTACACTAACATGTGCCTGAAAAGACCACCCTAGTAAACGAGACTATAATCTAAATAACTGAGAACATATTAATTATCAAAGGATAAACAAAGGGACAGGCAGAGGATGCTATCTGGTTCTTCAAGCTGGGGAGCTTTATTCTCAAGCATCTGCTCCTTCCAATGTCTAGCAGTGATGTGATTATACGTGACCTTGCCACTTCCGGTCACAACAACTTCTGTAGCCAGGACCTCTCACAGCTCCGTCTCCGAAGTAAAAAAACAAACAGCAGTAGAAGCATTAAACTAGTAATGCAGGATAAGATAAAAAATTTATGTCATAATCAGAAACAAAGCCAGTGGCTCTGTGCAGATTTAGACACAGCCTGAGTTGGCCTTTCCTTTGTATCATTAATTAGAACTTGAAAGTTGCATCAAACATGTCGAAAGAATCATAAGAACTGTCTGTTATGTTGCAGTCACAGCCTGAAAACATGGGACAAGGCAAACTACTTTCTGTCCAAGACCTTTCTTTATCATGTTTATGCTGTAGGATCTGACAGCATAAAAGTTAGGTATGTCATGATACAGGTGTCACACAATACGACAAATATCTCAATACAGAAGCAATGATTTGACAAATATCTCAAAACACAAGTCATGATTCAACCAATCTGTCCTCAGATCTTTGTTTAGTGGTAGCAAGAACTAAGGTCTGATTTTAATGAGATTGTGATTCAACAAATATCTCAATACAGAAGCCATGATTCGACAAATATCTCAATACAGAAGCCATGATTTGTTAAATATCTCAGTACAGAAGCCATGATTCGATACAGATCTTAATAATGCAAATTTGACATGTTGCGTAGAAATATCCAGTCATTAGACTGAGATTAGAGTCCATAGACTATAAAAAAGGTAAAGAAGAACAACTGACTGATACCCATCAACATGACACTGAGTCAAGTTAAGTATTCTGTTTGAGACAAAGAAACAAAGTTTATGTGCTGTATCATAACAGGAAGCAAGGAAACCCCAGTCAGTCTGATACATTTATATACTTCTATCTCACACTATGCATTTCTCTTTCTACTTTCGATAAGTGGATAATAAAACCATGCCACCCTAACACATCAAGCATCACCATGGTCACCTCCCAACAATCTGGGTCACTGTGTTTACCTACATGCACTGAACATGTGATTTCCTGTCCACAAAGGTGGCCTGTAGATAAACCTGTCTACAAGAGAGGCATGCGTTGAAAAATGCCCCCAAAAGAAGCCTTGAAGTCTTCAAGAGGGAAAATTGGAAAAAAGAGAAAAGCCAAATGGATTCTTTTGTGAGGACATGTCACAACACTGGCGATTTGAAAGAGAATAAGTTGGCTGGGGAAATCCCATGTTCAGTGTGTGTAACTTGTAGGTCGACCGGCATGAAGTGTGCAAGACCCAGATTGTTGGGAGGTGACCATGGTGACGCTAGATGTGTTTGGGTGGATTGTTTTTGTCAGAGGCTGGAAAACTTTGTTTAGGCATGTTTCCATTAAGAATCAAAAGAAGAATGAGAAATGCATATTGTGAGTTAGGAAAAGTACAAAATATAGTTTGTACTTGCTTATCGATATCAATGCGAGATTAATATGGGGTTAAATGCGAATTGATGCCTAATTTAGTGTATCAGGTATCGTATCACGCAAAGTTTGCTAACGATGCACCGGTGTACCATCGCAACATCAATGATAAAAGTTGTGCTTCACAGGCGTATGATTAATGTTTGTGATGATGGTGATGAATACCTGTGAATTGGCATCATAGTAGAGCCCTGTTGATGGATCATAGTAGTATCCTGAGGACTTATCGAACTGGTAAGTTGATACATCGGGAGCTGCTGCAATAGAATGTAGCTTTCAGGAAATATTGGTAAATTATGGATGTACAAGAAATTCTTCACCCTTGTCAATCCATGACATCAACAGTTCAACTTACTTCCGATTACCATAGCAAATAATTTTTTCAGATAAAAACTGAAAACAAATCATGTTAACCTTATTTTTCAAACAGGAAATCACTTCAGCTATCAATCACAATAAAATAGATAATTATGAGATACACTTCTGTGAGCAATGCGAGGAATACTTACGATATGCAAGTACTTCTTTGTTCCCAGCAGGCTGGGCAGCGGCCTGTTCAACTACTGGCTCGGCCTTCTTAGCACCTGGTGTCTGGAAGAAATTCACCAAGAACAATTTTTATGTTCTAGAAATACCATATAAAAGTTCATTATGTATTATGTAAACATGGAAGGGGCGTTTATCAAATTAATCTTGATCAGTTGATGGCCTTATTCTACCATGAAGATGTTTGATTCAAAGAAAGACTTTGTTTAGATCTTGTATAAGCAACCTACATGCCGATGCATAGCTGCCAACTTTCCCAAATTACAATGAGTATTTTGTCTTATCTTCTGGTTGGGACACCAAAGTCTGACGAAATGAATCATCTGCTGGACAATAAAGCCATGTGATTCCGAAACTCAGAAGATAACTTTATTTCCTAGTTTCTATTTCAACTACAGCAACTTCCAATAATACGATTGGAGTGACTCCATTGGACAGATGCAATACAATAGACTTCATACCAGTCGAGAAACACAACGAAATCGTATGTGTATGGCTAACTGGCGACCCTCTTTTCACAATGCCTTTTTTAGTCCTTGTCATTTTTTTTCATAGAATGGCCAGCATAAGAAATTGGCATGAGTCCTGTAGTCCTTGTCAAACTGCCCAATAGTTAAGGTATCATAAGGACACCATTTTGCCATTTTAAAGGGTTTTGCTATATGTTATCATTATAGTCATTAGGACTAGTGGTCTAAAAATGTTTGTTTGAATGAAGGAAATAATCCTTCCTTGTTTGACAAGTACCTGCTTGTTGTAGTTCTTGGCAGCATTGGCTTGGGCAATAGCAGCCTGAGCAACAGCAGCTGCAGCATTGGTAGAATCCGCTGGAAATGTACAATCACATTATATGCAATTATTCACATGCAAAACCAAAAGGACATTACAAAGAAGAAGTAGATAAGTCTTGATCATATCAACATATGGAGAACACAGAAACTTATGCTATCTTCTGACTTACTTCAAATGTCGGGCATACAAATCAATTGTAAAGATTTGTGTATTGGTGAATATTGCCTCATGAACATTTGCCTGAGAAGTTAAAGCAGGTCTGTAGTTCCTTTTCACAAACAGTGATGAATGGATGGTCATGCTACAACTGCTGTACCCAGACCTGTTTACTCCTAACTTGCCATACCAGTAGTTCACTAAGAACAGAGCTCCAGATAAGCTGCGTATCTGCGTAAAATATGAATAAAAAATGCAGAAATATGCAGTAAAATAAAATCCAAGTGTATCAAATACGCAACGAACATTACAGATTTGTTACAAAAATAAAACTTGTCCGTATCATCAAAATATTGTGAAGTAACCCAGCTTATTCGATTAGCAAATCAGCAACTTATTTTGAAATTATAAACAGACATTCCGTCAACCTTGCCAAACTCCACGATGACAGTTACATCATGATTATTTGCCATCACACTTTCTTGTGGAAGTATCGTGGTATTTTTGAGTCCTATAAAGCTCTCGAACCCACACGACACCAGTTTGCAGGGACTAGATGAATAGTGTTCTTAAATATTTAACTTAAATACCTACATGTGTAAAAACTAGTGGGTAACAGAAATTTGAATACCAAGATAGAATTAATGATACACAATGATTTTAAAATACCCACAACACCAAAAGCTTATCTGGAGCTCTGTAAGAATCTGTCTGTAGTTCTATTTGTCAGTAGTCATTGTTATCAGTGTGAGAGCAGGTGAAGTCGAACTCATCAAGGGACATCGTCCAAACAAATGTGTTGTTTTCTTACCAATTTTGAATGGAGGTAGGGGGAATTCTTCTTCAAAAAGATTCCAGAAACTATCATAAAAAAGTTGACGTGCATACTTACTAGTAGCCGTGACATATCACAACGAGTGCTGTAATCGTGCGATGAATATCGTACTTAGATTTGGGTGTGTGGATTACGAGATTTACTGATACTGCAATAACACAGTCATACTATAATTCATCAGTTAAGAACTTAATTTATATGATATTCTTAAAATCTGTCAATTTCTCACCAGGACTTGAAGTCAGTGTACTTAATGAAAAATCTGTAGGAACTATGAGAAACTGTAGGAGTAAACAGGTCTGTGTATCTCTCATAATGGTCTAACAGAAGAATGCTCGCTCTATGCAAAGGGACCCTGGAGCAGGCAAACGAGTGACTGAACCAACAGAAGAGAGCTCAGTATCATTCCACCTCCAACATACCAAAGTTCTGGAATCACTTATCAACAGGAATCTAACAATCCTGTACTCACTCTGCAATGGATGCGAGCCAGACTGTCCATACTGACTGTAATAATGGGAGTACTCATAGCTCTGGCTGTCATAGTACTGTCCTGTTGCCTGGTCGTAGTAGGTTTGATCATACTCCCCGGGGGTTCCTGAAGTGAGGGCTGTGGTTGTGGGGGATGTGGTGGTTGTGACTCCGGCCTGGTACAGCTGGTTGTAGTACTCGCTCCCTGGTTGCCCGGCTCCTGCTACTTGCTGACTGCTGTAGTCCCAGGCCTACAACATCATAGACAGTTTGTTGTTTAACGCAGCACTCACCATTATTCCAGCTACATGAAGACGGCCTGTAGATGACAGAGTCTGGACTAGACAATCCTGTGATTGATATTATGAGCATTGATCCACGCAATTGGGATACGATGACATCACCCAATCCTGTAGGTCGATCCGGTGAGCCAGAATGGGCTGCTGGGGACCAATCTTAATCCAGAATCCCAATGGGACATATTGGTCAGTGAACTAAAAAGCTGTCACACTATGCATGATACAAACCACTGGGTTAGACCTCATCCCAAAACATGCAGTGTTGAATCTAGTATTACCTTGCCCAATCTCATTAAAATCAGACCTTAGTTCTCGTTATGACTAAACAAAGATCTGAGGACATCCTATTACGGGTCATGTCAGAACGACCTCTCTTCCGACCAATCAAAGCGTCGCTTACCAGATCGTGAAAGTGACAGTCGGAATGTGTTTTCTGATCATGCCACCTCGAAAACGTTAACACAGGGTATTCCGAACGACAGTAACGGCCCGTACGACTGATTCTGTCAAAATTATCGTCTATCTCTCGCTTACGTTGGGATAAACAGTTGAACGGAGGAGGCGTTGCACAGTACGTGGGAAGCACTGCAATACAATCTTAACCATATATTAGACATTCAGGACTGTTCGTTTGCTCAGTTTTAAAAATCTTAATCGAGAGCGGTGTCAACATATTTTTCAAGCGTAGTCTGAAATGGAAGTCGCCAGGTTGAAATGAGTGCCGTGAAGCTCGAGAAAGCTGCTTTTTAATTGGTTGATGTTGACTTCTTGTTAGCCATTTCAGTGGTCGGTCAGAGTTCGCGAAAGGTCGTCCTGACATGACCCGTAACGGGATGTCCTCAGATCTTTGTTTAGCGGCATCGAAAACTAAGATCTGATTTGAATGAGATTGCACCTTGCCCTACAAAATTAGGGTCTTCAGGACCCCCAATAATTATTCTAAGGGTCCTTGCAGGCAATATGAGGGTCCTGTGAAGTAATGGTGTAGTGTACTGTATGTTTATATAACAAGTATTTGTCACAGAGTGACGAAATATCCCCCGCCTGTACACCATAGTACCAAATATGAAGAAAATCCAGCGATTAGTTCTTGAGATATTGTGGCAACACCGTTTTCCAACTCCAAAAGCAGATTTGCCTGCTGTGACCTTTAAAATAGGATCAAGGTCACCAAAACCGACTGGTGTCTGCGGAGTCTGTATATACACCATAGTTCCAAATATGAAGACAATCCAGTGTTTAGTTCTTGAGATATCGCGGCAACACCGTTTTCCAACTCTAAAAGCAGATTTGTCTGCTGTGACCTTGAAAATGGGATCAAGGTCACCAAAACCGACTGGTGTCTGCGGAGTCTGTATATACACCATAGTTCCAAATATGAAGACAATCCAGTGTTTAGTTCTTGAGATATCGCGGCAACAAACAGGTGGGACGTACAGACGGACGTACGGACGGTCGTGAATACTATATCCCCCGCTTCGCGCTTTCGCGCGGCGGGGGATAATTACTTAAAGCATGTTAAGAGCCTGGAATGACTCAGTATCATGAAAACAGTGATCATGATTGATGGATGAAATACCAGACACCCAAAATTGCTCTTGATGCGCTGTAGCCTGTAGGTACAATGAATAATATTGTGCACCACTTGGGACGCAGTATATTCTCTACATTTATGCATCGCATAAAACCCTGTTGTACAGTACATAGTTGAATGAAAGTACTCAATATAAAAATTGTGATTTACCTCATTTGAAAAGCATCATGAAATACATAATGTTACCTGAATGATACAGAAAAGTCAGTTTGCTAATAAGTTTCTACTTACTGGATTTTGAGAGGTACTGTTTAATGTTGCCATTCTGAAAGAGAGAGTACTATTTTTAACTCTGCATTAACAATAACATAAAAACATGCGCAAACAATAAACAAGAAATCTTCCAAACACAAAATATGTCGATTCAAACAGTATTTTTGTCTTATGAAAGACACTTGGCTGATTTACCACTATATACATGTTATACACAGTACAATATGACTTGTCTATTACGTCTTCAAAGTGGCAAGATGTATTGCTATATACATAATACGTGTAATATACAGTTCATATGCACGGTGGGATGCGTGCGTGTGTGCTGGTCCAGACTAGACATTTTATAGATACCATGTCACAGTTTAACATGAATACCCAACTTAGACACAGTATACTGACTGAGCCGACCAGTTCTTGTTTTAGACCCTTAATGCTAAGTGCCAGGCAGGGTAACAACAAGTACCATCTTTTAATGGCTTTTGGTATTACCCCTGACCTTCCACTCTCTGATAAGACACTCTACCACAATACCACAGATGTGGTTAGTGTCAAAAGAAGGTGAGACAGGTCTTAAAAATGTCAAAAGTTCACTGCCTCAGTGAATCTACAAGCACAAATTTGGTGCTGATAAACCTAGAGTGAGTGAGTGAGCGAGCGAGCATGGTTTACACCACTTTTAGCAATACTCCAGCAATATCACAATGGGGAACACCAGAAACGGGCTTCACACATTGTACCGGACCGCACAGATAAACCTCGAAATATATTCAGGGTGAACCAAGATTTGATCCCATGATCATCTGTTTCTAACACTTGTATTTCAATTACATTCCACTCAAACTAAATATACTCACACTGTGGAGAAAGTGTTCTTTGCATAGGATGTGAGAACTTGTTTGCCATCTACTTCCAATGGAACGTTGTTCCGTGTAAGGAAGTCTATAACTTGAGTGGATTCCTGAATGGAATTCATCTCACAGAACCCATACCCCCTGGATGTGTTTGTGACTGGGTCTCGAATGATCCGCACATTCTTAGACTGGAGAGTTGTTTGCAATCGTAATGCTACATCGAGGGACTCTTCTGTTGTAAGTGCATCAAGACCTCGAAATATAAGAGCTGTGGAAAAATATGGTCGTGATTATTATAAAAAGAGTCAAATGAAATACTAACACTAATATTACGATATTGGACAAATACTACTTAATGTCAACGAACACACTACACAATCTTATTCTTGGTGAAAGGCTAAAATACCCCATAAACAAAAAATATTTTTTTCAGAATTGTTCTGGGTACTCCGCTTCTGACCAATGGTAGTCCTTCAGCATTATAAAATTCTATCATCCTTGCATTTACAATATGATATATAGACACACATTTGAATCTGTCTTGTCTATACTGGGAACTTAATTTGTCCAGGTTTGAGAGCTATGAGTCTGAGTTATGTCCCTTGGTATCTCCTAAAAGGCATAAGTGAGTGAGTGCGTTAAAATTTAAAGTCACATAGGCAGTATTTCAGCCGTTTCGTGACTATAAAATATTACACATAATAAATACAATTAGAGTATTAAAAATCATCAGAGGACAGTAAAATAACTACATTCATCACAGATCTATATTTAAAACTAGTATGTTACCATAAAAAGATACCGTTGTACACTACAAGACTTTATAACAAGAGTAATCAGAAGATTACAAATCCCCCCGGCCCCCACAAATTCCAAAGAACAAGTCATCTGACTGTTACTTGTAAGTCCAACTTGATGAGAGAATTTCTATCTGATCTGTCTGTCAGTATACAAGAGCAGTTATTGAGCTATCAAAACAACACCATGGAACTGGGATTAGGGACTTCGTATTTCTATGTCAGGTACACACCACTATGAACAAACTTCAAAGTCAAACTTGTTGCCATGGAAACGGAAAAAAATAAATTCTAAACACCCATAAGTAGCAAATGGCACCATTTGGCAACCTGCTCTTTGAGAGTGCACAAGAAAGAATACATATTAGTTTAGAGATATGGTCAGGACAAATATGCCACTATGAACAGTCAGCGTCAATTTTTAACCCTGTCACATCTCTGCAACTTTAACACAGTGTGACATTGAATTGTTGTTTCCAATATCTGAAACACCCCTACATTTTTGAGAGCACAATTCCATCCTTGGACCTAACATAGGTATAGTCGTAAAGTAACAGTTATGTACTATGTTCATGATGTCATTATGTTTGACTTTCAGTGAGATGCATTTTGTAAATGTTAACAAAACTTACTATTGCATGGATTAGTTCCTACTTGGTCAAAGCCATCTCCATCTTTTGTTTTGTCAGATTCTGAAAAAAAGATAGGTAAACAAATATACATACGGGTGAATTTAATTCAGATATTTGCATGCATTTGTAAACAATGACTTCTCCATTGCTTTCTAACTGTTAAATTATATGTGCAAATAGATTTTTTGGTCTTTATGTTCTAAAAATGCTGAAAACATTTAAAGAAAGATTCGAAAACACCTTACCATCTCTGGAAATATTGCACTTGAAACAGTAATCTCTTCTCTTGAAATTATGAACACCACACTGGAAAGAAGTAAAAAAAACCAGTAGACTGCAGTTAACGGACATCAGCATACAAGGCATAGCAGACAAACTGCCAATCAATTCAGGACCATAACGCTTGTGTGAATGCAAAGTTCAATTCTACTTTTTACTTTTACTTTAGCTTCCCAGATATATGTTACAGCAGCCTCTATTCCTAACCCAGAGTGAGTGAGTGCGTATGGTTTTACGCCGCTTTTAGCAATATTCAAGCAATATCATGGCGGGGGACACCAGAAATGGGCTTCAAACATTGTACCCATGTCTGAATCAAACCCGGGTCGTCGGCGTAACGATTGAATGCTTTAACCACTAGGCTACCCGACCGCCCTCCTAACCCAGAATCCAGTCTTTCAGCCAAGTAAGCACAGGCTATAGCAGTCCATTTGTAAGAGTGCTGAAGGACATGTTTGGCCAAGGAGACTTGACCATCTTTGACTGTTACAAACAAGTTTTGATTAAGCTGTATGTTTCTGTGACTCATTCATCAAGGGGCCCAAATCATTAGGAAGAAGCGATGTTAATGTTGTTGCAGTTGATTCTGAGCCAGGAACTCACTGGCCATTCTGAGTGAGTTGGGTTATTAATGCCGCTTTGAACAGTATTCCAGTTACATCACAGCATGTCAGCTTAATGAGGGAGGAAAGCCTGAAGTGATGCAGGTCTGAGACGTTACAACTTTGATGAAACCCACAAGCTAGGGTATGGTGCTGACAAACCTAAAAACATGATCTGGCTGAACCGGGATTCAAACCCACGATATAATTTTCTTGCTTGCCCAAGGGACAAAACTCTGCATATTGAATTGTGGCACCTGGGATAACCCAACTGGACATCCTGAACAAAATTTATATTTATATTTATAAGAAAAACTGATGCACCTACAGATCATTACTCAAAAGCAGAGAGAAATTATCCACAATCGCTGAAGTAGGAGAAATTGTTTAAATCTGTTGGTTCCGGAAGTAGAATCAACAGATTCTTATGATTTCCCCATAAAATAAACCACAGCCGTGTCCTCTTACCTTGCTACAGGTCCAGTCTGTTTTATGTTGCACAAACTTCTCTGGGCCAACTCGTGGCGTACTGTAGTGCATGCTCACTTGGTACTGATTCAGCATGTTGAGCGCACCCTGGCAAGGAAGAAACACATGTTATAGTTCATGTTGTGGAACAGAAAACACCCAGCCCATGAAAGGAAGCCATGAGATTGTGTGCCTGTCATCCTGACCAAGCCTGTTGCTTGCAGTAAGCGCTGTCTGCTTGACGCAGTGCCACTAGCCAGTCTACATACCACTGGCGCTCTTCCTAATACCCACATGTCAACAGTATCATCCTAGCATGTACAATTTAACAATGTCAATAACATTAATGTCATTACAACAGGTTTCAGCATCATTAGAAGTGCATTTCATTAGAAGTGACAATCATAAAGAGAGTATATGTAACAAGGGAAATGTACAATGAAGTCATCATAATCGCTATACACGGGAACAACCAGCTCAAGAAAGAAAACCGAAATCAAAAAGAGAGAAATCCTGTTGTTTTTCTTCAAATGCCTCCGTTTTCTTTCAAGAGCCAATCCTCAATTATTATTCAAGAAAATAGATCTCCTTTTCATAGACTTGCATATCAACAAAGTTCACATGATAATAGATATTGTCCTTGCAAAGATACAGCTCAGATTAAGATGACAACAAACATTGTCTGTAGCAATGGAGGGGTTAGTGGGCAATTTGCAAGTGTCCAAAGATCATGAGAAGTTTATACTGATCTTGACGTTGATTACCAATCAATGAGGGAATGTAGCTAGCCAAGAAAATGGCCCCTTGCAAGCAAGGCAGTTGACGTGACAACCACCAAACTTGCAAGCTTGTCGTGTGTAAGTGTGTGCATGTACAATTTCTTTGTCAAATCGAGTCCTCAGGGACTGATCTTTATCAACTACTGTACCGCTGAGGTAAATCTTAGATGTGGTTAAACCTGTTTCTGATCCATCCAACGTTGGGCGTCTGTAACGTTCTGAAACTCCACAAATGCAAAGCCACGGGAGGCACCTGTGCAAGTATTTAGAACGTTTGTCAGTTAAATGTGTAGGGAGAAAAGTTGATGACGGCACAAACCACCAGCTAACAACCCTTGTCTCACATGCCTTCCCAAACAGTGTCGACTCATACTCACTGAGGATGCTCTGAAGATGTACAAATCGATCACAGCTGCATTTCCTACTGAAATACTTACCAAGAGTGACCATGTGATTTGTTTTCAGTATTGTAACCTAATCATAAGCTCTATTACATATTTTCTCACAAAGACTTCATTGAACTATTTATGACATCTGATAACATAGATATACACAGTCAATTAAATAATGGAACTGGCAATTAAATGCAGAGATGCCAACCCTAATTGAAGCATTGGAGTAATCAGAAGATTAAAAAATAAACAAAGTTATTTCATGTGAAAAAGAGTCATGTTAACTTTTTATAATGGTCATCACCTTTGAGAATCCCTGATGCATGCTTTGCTACCACACCTTTGTCAGGCCTAGACTTAAGTGAAACATGTTTGTTTTGTTTTTATGTTTGTTGTTTAACGCTGCACTCAGCAATATTCCCGCTAGACCATCCAGTGAGTGACATTATGAGCATCTAATTGGGATACGATGACATGTATCAACCGAGTAAGCGAGCCTGACCACCCGATCCTGTTAGTCGCCTCTTAAGACAAGTATGGGTTGCTGAAGACCTATTCTACCCCGGACCTTCAAAGGTAAGTGGAAAGCTCCAGACATTCTTAAAATTCATCATATGACACTATTAACTGTGAAAGACTATGATGTGGTGTTTCGAGTTCCAAAGAATATCGGTGTACATGCAATGAGTTACTTGTCTGCACCCACAAAATCAATCGATAAAATGACTTGAGTGTGTTCTAACATAACAACCAACCAAGAGACCTGTCTATTTTAATACCATGTGAACTTAAAGCACGGCTCTCATTGGTCGGCAGTCCTGCTTAAAAGTTCTTTATGTCACTGTTGCAATAACAATTTGCTCTTGTTGATTTTATGCATATAAATAAATGGTGAGAAAAAGTTTGCAACATTTATAATTTGGGGGAGGACAAGCGTCATAGTATAATTTTAGGCTCAAAGTCCGAACTGTTACACCAAAATCGTAATGGTTGGCATCTCTGTAAAATGTACATGTCACAAGTCTAAGTAAAATGATACATATTACCAATACAACAGCAAGTTTAACAGCTGAAAAGAGAGGTCCAGTGGCACTACAGAACACAGTGTCTAAGTGAAAGGATATAGAGTCTTTAATGAACACATATATACTTCAGAGTCCCCAGTGAGTCATGCGACAGTCCCGCACTACCACTCCCCGTCCTTCCCCACCATAACACCCACACATATCATGTACAAGAAAAGAAAGTAGTCATCTCAGACCATGCTCTCACCTGTGCTTCTACGCATTAGTCTCACATCCTTAACAGGGGCACCAAACATCATCAACTCCGCTCGAATCTGTAACGAAAAACAACCTGCCAGACTTCGAAATTCCTTGCATTGGAGTGCACATTGTACGGTTATAAAGCTAATAACAAAATGTATTTCCAGGGTAAAAAAATAGTTTATACTTATCCTGAATCATACTTTTTGCTTATTTATACTCATTTTCAAAAGGCAGTATAAACGTTCTGAACTGTGTTCCCGGAGAACAGAGAAATATTTCACATGAGTGCACCCCTGGATTGCGCATGCGCACTGGAAGCACATCACCAAGCTCGGTTACTCGTCACTCTCTCATTTCCCGTACCCACACTAAGACCCAAGACAGCAACTTACATCTTTCTCATCCACCTGTGGTGGTAGTCCACGCAGCAGCACTGTGTTAGTGGGAGTGTCCGTCATCCACTTTTCCCCGCCACGGTCCTCTCGCATTTCCCTTGCATCACGTTCCCTGTCACGGTAGCTCTGGCTATCCCCTTCACTGCCCTGAGAAAACATCTAAATGCACTTACCAACAGGAACACAATAAAATATATGTGACTTATTATCATCCAGGGACATCATTTATAGCATCAAAGAAAATGTCATGATAATTATAATGTGTTATGATAAAACATATTTCTTTTCCTATGATCTGATCATCAGACACAAAGACTAGTACTTACATCCAAGCTGTAACTGTCATCATATCTGCTTGATGGACTTCTGTCTCTTTCACGGCGTTCTCTGCGTTCTCGACTTCTTTCATGGTCACGATCTCTTGGATGTCTTCGCTCACGACGTCCATCTCTATCTCGTCTTGATCTGATCAGTAAGTGTATATCCTTCAAAATTGTGTAATGTGCAATGCACCATGCCAAGACTTGTTTTGAATGAAATATATTTATCTGGTGTGTATCAATAGAAAGAACATTTTCATACTGCAGGTCAACAGCTAGTATACTACTTAAAAGGTCTTCTGGTGGAAGGAGTAAGCGTATACTCCGAAATGTTGTGTTCCTCATAATAAAGAAGTTGACATCCATATATTCTCAACCTTACTCAAAAGAGATTAAAAAATACCTGATTCTTTCATATTACCATAGTAGATCCGATTCTTTCATATTGCCATCGTTAATCTGCCACACCATGACAGATCAACTATGGTAATATGAAAGGAGTGAGTGAGTTAGCGAGTATGGTTTTACGCCGCTTTTAGCAATATTCCAGCAATATCACGGCGGGGGACACCAGAAATGGGCTTCACACATTGTACCCATGTCGGGAATCGAACCCGGGTCTTGAGTGTGACAAGCGAATGCTTTAACCACTAGGCTACCCAACCGCCCCTGGTAATATGAAAGAATCTGATGTTCTTTAACTTCTTTTGAGTAGTATATATCATGTATATAGCTGAATTGAAATTTCTTCTCTACATGACTTATGAAATAATTTTTACAGACCAATCCAAAACATGCAATAAAAATTCACAACTACCACTATGACTACTTATTCATTATTTACCGGTCTCTTTCTCTTTCACGGTCTCTGCTGGAACCTCTGTTTTCCTCATAGCCTTCACTGAATCTGTTGCTGTCATCACCCCTGATTCCATCCCTGGCATAGCCTCCACCTCGATCCCCTCCCCCTCTTCCACCATCATAGCCATAATCACTGCCTCGGCCACCATCTCGACTGTAGTCAAGTTCCCTTCCTCTTGTATCTCTAGCATAGTCCATTCCCCTAATGTCTACACCATTCTCAAAGTCTCCCACTTGAGTTTGGCTGTCTATTTGACCATCTATTTGACCATCTTCATACTGTCTGTTGTCAAAGCTGTATTCTGGTTGATAGTTGTTATATGTTTCAGCCATCTTTTCTGCTGGAAAATAAATACAAATCATGAGCATACGTTCTTGAGACGTACTGTATTCGACGTAATAAGCGCCCTGCTCTAATAAGCGCCCACGGCGATATTTGCTAATATATTGGCTTGTGAACAATCCCAATTAGCACCCTTTCCGATTGATCAATGAACACAATACTTATTTGTTCGTGTACAATATGCACCCGTGTGTTATACAATGTTATATGCACCCTTAATTATGGGCAATTAAATTCTGGAAAAATATATCTCTCGTATATAAACATTTCAGGCTGTGAGCAAGTACGAAATTTATCTTTCAACTCTGTTTTTTTGCGACAAAATAATATTCTAATAAGAGCCCCCTATTTCTAATTTTGAGAGCACCCTGGGCGCTTATTACATCGAATACGATAATTGTAATATTAGATTTGGTCTGTTTTCTGTATTATCTTTTGTAATCTAACACCAATTACAATATACAACCCACTTGAGTTTCACTCGAGGAATAGTTCACTCCATTCTTGTAGTAAGAGTTGACTTAACTGATGATTGCCACAAAAAATGTCCTGACCAGAACCTAAATTTTTGCTTAGGTCGCATCTGACATTGTTGACTGAGGTGTAAACAGTCTTCATTTGATCTTAATCCCTTATGGCCTGAACAAACATTTCTATCATATTTTGAGATGAAAACATTTCTTTATCCACATTGAGATATACCACAAAGGAGTCATTGCATGTAAATTGTTCAACCAGACTTAAGTTGCCTTGGGAGGCAAGCATTGTCCGAAATAACTGCATGCCTGCCCACCTGCCCATGGCTGGAAACTTTTCTGTTACTGTTAGCAATGGTTAGGCAGCATGAAATTTTCCTCCACCTGCCCGTGGCAGGAAACTTTTCTGTTACTTTTAGCAATGGTTAGGCAGCATGAAATTTTCCTCCACCTGCCCGTGGCAGGAAACTTTTCTGTTACTGTTAGCAATGGTTAGGCAGCATGAAATTTTCCTCCACCTGCCCGTGGCAGGAAACTTTTCTGTTACTGTTAGCAATGGTTAGGCAGCATGAAATTTTCCTCCACCTGCCCGTGGCAGGAAACTTTTCTGTTACTGTTAGCAATGGTTAGGCAGCATGAAATTTTCCTCCACCTGCCCGTGGCAGGAAACTTTTCTGTTACTTTTAGCAATGGTTAGGCAGCATGAAATTTTCCTCCACCTGCCCGTGGCAGGAAACTTTTCTGTTACTGTTAGCAATGGTTAGGCAGCATGAAATTTTCCTCCACCTGCCCGTGGCAGGAAACTTTTCTGTTACTTTTAGCAATGGTTAGGCAGCATGAAATTTTCCTCCACCTGCCCGTGGCAGGAAACTTTTCTGTTACTGTTAGCAATGGTTAGGCAGCATGAAATTTTCCTCCACCTGCCCGTGGCAGGAAACTTTTCTGTTACTGTTAGCAATGGTTAGGCTGCATGAAATTTTCCTCCACCTGCCCGTGGCAGGAAACTTTTCTGTTACTGTTAGCAATGGTTAGGCAGCATGAAATTTTCCTCCACCTGCCCGTGGCAGGAAACTTTTCTGTTACTGTTAGCAATGGTTAGGCAGCATAAAATTTTCCTCCACCTGCCCGTCTGTCTGGCAGATAATTTTAAGACTACTGACATATTCTGTAATATTATAACTCCTTTTCCATTCAAAAGTACTTGTTTGCATTATTTGAAATGAATCAAAATGCAGGATTGCTAACAGTTTTTGTCCACTAGTCCTTATAATGAAAACATATAGCAAAACCCTTAAAATGGGCCAATTACTACTAGTCCTTAGGATACCTTTACTATTGGGCAGTTTGGTAAGGACTATAGGACTAGTGCCAATTTCTAACGCTGAAATGTCATTTGTCTCTTAGTTTTTGTGATTTTTCAATATTGATAATGCCTGAAAGAAGACAGGTAACTTAGAAGATAGACAGGCAACCCTTATAGGTCACCTGCCCAACTGCCTTATTGGGTTTTAAAAATATTTCAAACACTGGAGGCAAGCTTCAACAGGTTCAATAGACTAAATGCACTGATGTTTCTGTAGACCAGAACAATGTAGAAGAGTGACCTGAGGACAGGGTGTATTTGTCCTACGACACCGATGTGCTGGGTAATTCTGAGTGATTGCCAGTGTGTCATTGACATTATATAAATGTCAACACAGTTTTTTCCATAAACTCATATTACAATATACTCATTCAAAACTAGGATTCATCTCAAATTTACAATATAACTCATTGCATCCATATTTGACTGGATGTCATGAGAATTATTAAACGGCTTCCTATCCTGAGCACATTTAGATTAGTTTTAGCTCTTCATTGCTGAATGGGCAATCGACAAGGTGAACATCTTATGAAAAGAAGTGCTTTTTCCAGATGTTTTAAAAGTATATTATTGGTATAGTTGGCTGACAAAATTACAGCTGCATAAAATCAGTGATGCCATAATGACTTGAACACATGTTGAAGGACATGCACATATGTATATGTAGTAAAATATTTGAATTACCATATTCGACGTAATAAGCGCCCAGGGCGCTCTCAAAATTAGAAATAGGGAGCTCTTATTAGAATGTTATTTTGGTGAAAAAAATATATTTGTTGTTGAGTTGACAGATAAATTTCGTGGTTCATGCTGACAGCCTGAAATGTTTATGTACGACAGATATATTTTTCAAGAATTAAATGCTCATAATTAAGGGTGCATATAACACACAAGTGTGTATTATACGCGAATAAATAAGTCTTGTGTACGTTGATCAATCGGAAGGGGTGCTAATTGGGATTGTTCACTAGCCAATATCTTAGCAAATGTCGCCGTGGGCGCTTATTAGAGCAGGGCGCTTATTACGTCGAATACGGTACTTATTTTTCACAACACCAAGGTTGACAAAGAAATCTTTAATTGGTGTGCAGGCAAAGATGAAAGGGGAGCAACTAGAACAAGGAGATAAGGCAGATAACCATCTATCTATGGTAAGGAGAACATCGGGTATCTCAGGTGTGTCAGGAAAGATTACCATGATTACACACCAATGTTGATTTAACTACATAACAAGTACTCAGGGCCCGGTTTAGCAAAAATGCAACCTAATATTTATGTCTACTTGCACCAAGTACATGTAACAAATCAATTCACCCCCCTGTTTTACAAATAGACATGCTATCGCGTAGGGCTGCACGGTATTACCGGTATACCGGTATACCGCAATATGAAAATGAAACAACTACGTATCGCGATACGTTTGTGATGTACCGGTATATTGACAATGATTTTGTGTTTTCAAATTGAACTTGCTTATGATTAATCATTATTACTCATTCAACACCGTAGGCCCGTAATACCGGCCAAGAAGCATTCCCAGACACCGTAGGCCGGTATAGGCCCTACCGGCCAAGCCGTAGTCACGTCAAAATAGTATATAATTTTTTAAACCTACCAGTCATATCTTTCATTTACTAAATCTATCACATTTCACAATGTCTGAAATACGTATTCAATTTCAATTGATCATTTTTTATCAATAGATTAAGAAATTATTCACTATTTCCCGTAATGTTATTTAAAATAAAAATCTCAGACACGCACTTCGAAAACGGGTCCACATCGAACATGTCAAAGAGCAAAATAAAGACGTTTCAAGCAAAGCTTTGAATATAGTATACAAAGTTATAGATACAATCAACAAAAATATATCTAAAAGTTGTTAAACTTACTGCCAAGTTATTATTTCCATCTTTTCGTGCGATCGCTTGTAATGTAAATCAAATGACATCGGCTTTCGTCGCCTAAATTCTCGGCTCGGACACGATGTTTAATGCCAAAATTATGCATGAAAAAACTTTGTCACAGCTCGTAACCTAGCATGATACATCAACAAAGCACCATATTTTTAATATAAATTGCGATTTCCTGCTTAAGATGTTCAGAATGGCAGGATAAACAAAAAGATTTCGTCAAAATCTAAAATTCATAACACAACTGTAATTTGATTGACTGCCTTAGATCACGTGCTCAAATTTGACCAATCACAAACCTTGTAGCAGATTTTGGCGCGAAAGCGTCATTAGAAACCAATTGTTATCCAATAAAATCGATTGTTATAACTACGAAAAACTCCAGGCGATGTTACGAGCGTGAAGATGAAAGAATAAGCTTTCTAGCGATGTGTCATATGCCAGTCTTCGACGAACGTGTTATTCATACGAAGCCTCGAAAACAGTGGTATTTCTTCATGTTACTGAGCGGACAGGCGCTGTTATCGGGAAATGGGTGATGACAGATACTATTGATAATTCTTTTTCAAAAGCTTTTTCAATAACGTAAACAATAAAAATAAAAAAGGAAATAGGTAAGTGCATTTTATGAAATCGTATATTTGCCGAAAATCGTCAAATTTTCGCTTCCTTGGTCCTTAATCTGGACGTTGTGACTGAACATAATTAAGTTGTAAATGCATTATTTAAATAATGTGATAAACAATACTTTCATATTTATAAACAATAGGATCAGACCTTTCAAATGGTGTATAATATAGAGTTGCAAAGATGTTTTACAAGCAGATATTTTCTTTGATAAATGTTGGTTTCATCTATCACACAGGAATCTCTGGTTACTGGGTGTCACAGCAGTAAACGCTTCTGGTTGACTGGTGTTGAAAGAGTTAAAACAACTAATATTGTCCATCTTTTTACCTGCGATGTCATTGTGATGAAACTGCACGAACAGCTCTTTGATAAACAATTACAAACTTACGTTACCACAAACACTGGACCCATATTATACATAAATACCTCTAACATTTCTTCCTGAACCTATGAGCTAAACGCACCCATGATGTCACTGAGTCTGGAGAATTGATACCACTAATATTTACTGCATGTTGGACTTTACCATTATGGTGCCTTAAACAGCTATTCTTGAGTCGAATAGCACAGCCAGTCAGACACAATATACAATTGTCTGTTTTGTCTGATGGTTCTGGTTTTTCCCTTTTTTTTACTTTGAATAAAGCTAAACTTTGTATGATTGTACTGTGATTCAATGTGGAGGTAAAAGAATCTTAAACAGTGGACAGAACTCAATAAGTTTTCTTCCACAATATATTGCAGTACGTATTGCAATACAGAGGAATGTATCGCAATATATCGCAATACGAAATTTGGGGCAATACACAGCCCTACTATCGCGTGCCCCTATATTAGAAGTATCAAACAAATATGTCTGACAGGTATCTGCAAGTGTACCCGGATACTTTATGTGTGACAATGCAGCCTGCAACCTTTACCATTCCTACGAAGGGAACCCGTGAAGATTTCGGGGTGGAATAGGTCTTCAGCAACCCGTACTTGACGTTAAAGGCGACTATGCTTGTTGTAACTAACGGGATCGGGTGGTCAGACTCGCTGACTTGGTTGATGCATGTCATCGATCCCAATTGCTTGGATCGATGCTCATGATATTAATCACTGGATTGTCTGGTCCAGACTCGATTATTTACAGACCGCCGTCATATAGCTGAGTGCGGCGTTAAACAACAAACCAACCAACCAACCATTCCTACAAAGGGCAAGACTGTAGCCTACCAACACAGATGCAATCTTAGCACTAGTCACCTTTGGCGGTGGCTCATAGATACTGCATGCCCTCGTGATCCATTGGATTAGGTGTGAGTTGTGTTTGGGTTACTTATCTCCCAGCTTTAAGCAAAATAATCCGATGTAATATGAAGTAAATAAAATTCATAAAATTTTGACAATATTCGAAGAAAATAGTGTCTACCATGTCTACCAATGCACAAAAGTAAACACTTAGGTGCTGATCACCAGGTAATGAGCACCGATTATTTGAGACAGCACCCTGGGCATTCAGGTTATAGAGAAATTGCCCTCATGCAAAAATGGCTCCAGACAATTTGAAGAAAATGGCCTCAAATTTAAGTGAATATGGACCCAATTTTTGGAGAAAATCATTCTGAAAATTGTCCCAAATAAAACTTAGTTTGTTAGTTGATACAATTGGTACATGAGACCACCGTCTCCCATTTCACATTATTAAAACAAATAAAAGTAGCAAGAATTTACACTTAAAAAGCCAGCGAGGCCTAAGACAATGACACACACTGGAGGAGTGAGGATTAGTGTATTAAGTATTAATTCTTATTTTGTTTGGGGTTGTTATGATAATGATAAACATTTAGAACAACTTCTGAAAAAGGAGACCAGTGAAGATTGTGGGGTGGAATAGGTCTTCAGCAACCCATGCTTGCCATAAAAGGTGACTATGCTTGTCGTAAAAGGCGACTAACGGGATCAGGTGGTCAGGCTCGCTGACTTGGTTGATGCATGTCACCGATCCCAATTGCGTGGATTGATGCTCATGATATTAATCACTGGATTGTCTGGTCGATTATTTACAGACCGCTGTCATATAGCTGGAATATTGTTGAGTGCGGCGTTAAACAACAAACCAACCAACCAATCTGAAAAAGGATCTATTAATCCCTGACATGGACATATATACTTGCATCCAGCCTGTCACAAAGAGGGACAGGTCAGCCGAAATTCCTAAGGCAGAAGGTGACCTCTTAAACACATACGCAACAACACAACAGTGATCACAGCTCAAATATAAATATGACTTCATTGCAACAAGTCTAAGAAGACTGAGGAGATATCAGCAGGCTTTATCCTGTGACTCTTGTCAGGGATGGATTCACCTGGGTAAGTGAACCTGGAGTTGCTGTCACTCCGTACAAGGAGCTAACACAGCAAGAACAGGGCTGTAGTAGACGCTATGGCTACTAGTCGCACTGTGGTGGCTGTCATGCAGGACATCCAGCTTTGAGGTGGAGTGGTAGTACATGAGTTGTGGGAACAGTATGTGGATTGACAGATAACAGTTTCATGAATACTGACTGAGTACAGTGCCATCCATGGACAACAATGTTAGTAAGAGTTGGAGATGGACATCGAAACAATGTGACACTGTGACATTCCAGAGTATCAATCTCATGTTAGGTCGGTCCATGGCACATCTCATGTTAGGTCGGTCCATGGCACATCTCATTTTAGGTCGGTCCACGGCACATCTCATTTTAGGTCGGTCCACGGCACATCTCATGTTAGGTCGGTCCACGGCACATCTCATGTTAGGTCGGTCCACGGCACATCTCATGTTAGGTCGGTCCATGGCACATCTCATGTTAGGTCGGCCCACGGCACATGTCATGTTAGGTCGGTCCATGGGCAAGTGTTGGCTAATTAACTGCTTGCACACTTGGAAGTTGAAAAAGATCCCTCATTAAAGTATTTAAGGCTCAGCAAGCTCAGCTAACACTTTTAAAAGCATAATCATGACAATGAAACTGACGTCAAGGCTTAGGCCTATATGAAAGTGACAAGTTTGGGCACAGCGTCATGTGAGTTTGAGAAGCCAGCGAGAACCCATTCTGTTCGTGAACTCAAGGATTTGTGCCGAATGGCGTAGAGAGGTGAGGTCCTTCCCTTCCAAATACTTACGATAGAACCGATTAATGCAAAAATGAAGTGGCATTCAGCGACAGTTGACAGTCATATTCTGACATTCATTCACATGATGATCCTTTTCGAGCGCGTCGTGGTAAATGACATTTCGCAAGTACATTTGTCAAAACTATGCGTCGATTATTCAACATAGTGAAGTATACGCAATAAGGATGCCATATATCGGTTCATGATTGCGGACAACAAGTACTAGTAACCATTATTACCTCAAACGTCAGACGTCTTTGTATGCAACCAGCATCAAACTCCAAAATGGCGACTTACATTAGCATTGTGGGTAATGTAATGTAAACACTGCATCGCAGAATGGAAATAAAACGAACTAGAAATTCCCCAAATAAGCATATTCAAGATTATCTTCAGACATTGAACTACAATATTTTACCAACAAGTGTACCAGAAAGGTATTATTTTTCATAAACGTCATTCATTATTTTGGGACCCCCCTACGTGTTTATTCTTTTTATTCTGGACCCCCTTCCAAACGCTGTGATATTTTACGACACTTCCCATGATTCACATTGATTGATTGTGTATGGTTTTACACCGCTTTTAGCAATGTTCCAGCAATTTCACGGCAGGGACACCAGAAATGGGCTTCACACGCCGAACCCGGGTCTTCGGCGTGACGAGAGGACGCTTAACCACTAGGTATCCGACCGCCCCTCACAATGTTGCAACACACCTGTGTTAGATTCTATATAAACAAAATAAATCCCATCATATTACAAACAAAATAAACCCATGATATTACAAACAAAATAAATCCATCATATTACAAACAAAATAAATCCCAACACATTACAAACAAAATAAATCCCATCATATTACAAACAAAATAAATCCCAACACATTACAAACAAAATAAATCCAATCATATTACAAACCAAAAACCCCCAAAATCCCATCATATTACAAACAAAATAAATCCATACTATTACAAACACAATAAATCCTATCCTATTATAAACAAAATACATCCCATCATATTACGAACAAAATTAATCCACCATATTACAAACAAAATAAATCCCATCATATTACAAACAAAATAAATCCCATCGATATGAAGCAGTCAAAATCCTTAACAGAAAAAGTAACAACAGCCCCAAAGTTATCTAGACTAATAAGTGAGGTGAAACGGTTAGATATATTGCTCATCAGTGGAATCATATTAGAAATACAGGTCACCTGAACCGACCCCAACCTGTGGAACTATAACCAATGATGACCTGTTTACCAAGTTACTTGTGATTGGCTGGGGACAGATACCCTTTTGCCCGACCCTTGAACCAAAACCCGTGCAAAGAACACAAAACCTCTATTGACAAAGCAGACATGAAATCATCATAATCCAAAATATATGACTATAAACTCTTCATAGGCTACGGGATCCATATCCACAGCTCCAAACCCCAGGCACATTCAGTACGCCTGCCTGATGGTCAGTCAGTATTCACGGCTGAATTGGAGGCAATTCATCATGCACTCAAACTCATACGGGAACTTCCTGAAGCAAAGGCAGTCGTCCTATCAGACTCGCTAAGTGCACTTCAGGCCATCAATATTCTATACGAATATACAAAACTATCGGACCAAGGGCAACAGGTGGAGCTGTGTTTGATCCCCTCTCACATAGATATTCATGGAATTGAAAAAGCAGACTCACTGGCGAAGCTAGCTCTAGACAAAGCGGATATACAGCCTATTCCCTTTAGTAAACTAGAGATAAAAAATCGAAATCAAAGCCTCTATAGTAGAAAGATGGCAAGCCCAATGGGACGCATCGGCAGATGGCTATACAAAATTCAACCCAAGATCCAACAAAAGCCAAACTCATATTCAAATGAAAGGGAAATTGAAATTGCTATCTCACGCCTGAGACTCGGTCACAAAAAGCACTATGACAAGGTTTGTTCATCTTGCAATCAGGCTGAAGCCATTGCTCACGTGTTACTAGAATGTCAAGACCATGGCCCAGCCCGGGCTAGGTTAAAACAAGAATTGCAGTTAGATCCGCTATCTGTCATAGATCTCCTAAAGCCAAGAGATGCAGTAGCGAAGGCCAAACTAACTCTATTTCTGAGAGATGGACAGATACTCGAACGTATATAAACAGAGCAGCCAAGGATAAGAATGAAATTATATCAATATAAGAAAATAGAAATCATATCAATACAATAACAGAAATTATGTGAATACCAAACACACAATAGATATGTGCACCCTACTCACACACGGGAGTCACAAAGAGGGACAGGTCAGCCGAAATTGCTTAGGCAGAAGGCGACCTCTTAAACGCTTAATGCAACAACAACAACAAATCCTCTATTGACAAAGCAGGCATGAAATCTACATCATCCAAATATACTGAACAACAAAAGTTCCTGTGACATTGAATAAGATTTAATGCAAAAGTTATGTTTTTAACCAAATCTGAAACAATTTCGGTTTGCAACAGATAAAAGACTCATGTAAGTGTTCAAATGGTTTAATTTGCCATACTGACTTCAGAAAATGCGTGATTTCATAAAAAAAAAAACATCAACATGCCAAAATGGGACGTCTTGCGGGTCTTCTGGCGACTTACATTTGAGGCGGCGACGTACGGTTTGTGAAGATATTCGTCGAAGGCCAGGGATGCTTCTTGCAGTCACTGTTGCTGGCTGGAATCGATTTCGTAGGTGTGTTGTTCGAACTCAGTTGTCTTGTCGATTATTGGTTACGTGTGGCCTGCCACTCCGAGGATGGTCTCTGACTGCATTCGTCTGTTGCCAACGTTGCCATAAACACCAAATGGTGTTTCTGTGGACGTTAAATTGTCTTGCAACATCACGTTAACTCGATCCTGCTTCAAGCATACCAATAGCTCGCAGACGCTCATTTTCGGACAGGCGTGGCATTTCGTAATGTTGAATAATTGCGTAATTTTGTTGTTTTTCTGAGTGGTTGTTGTCAGCACGATGCTGAACAATGCATATGGAATCCCGTTAACACACATGTTTTTATACCCATTCTTGGGTAGTGAAATGCATGGGGCTTGCCTAAAAGTAAACTTTTGCATGGAATGCATGCTTTTCTGTAGCAGTTGGGTTTTTGTGACTAATATATTGTGAATATATATAATATATATAATAAATACACTACTGATCAAAGTGTGGCCGAGTTTATTTTATTGCTACTTTGTAAATATTTTAGTAAAGTCTTTAAATTGTCTTGTTTCTGTTTTAGCCCGTTTCTGTCTCAAGCTAGATTACTTGAGCAGTCTAAAAAACAACAATTAGACCAGCTCCAGTACTTACATAACTACTAACATAACAATAGCCACTTTCACCTATACAGCCACCAACAGTACACGCGTCTTGCTTTGTTTTTCTTCCCAGCTTCTGTATTATGTAAGTAAAAGGTTTCTTCTGCTTTTAGCTGACTTTGCTAAATAAGTTGGTCACTTACACTTGAAAGAAATCAGTGGTTATGTAGACTGCATTCAAATCAGTGGGTGATATATTTGTTGTGTTCAGGATCTCTATAAGGTTAGTTTGTGTTTGGTTCATATTTATGTATCTTGTAGATATGTCTGTGTATTTAGTTTTATGAATTAGATGCACTAAGGTAATGCATTGATTGGTAATTATATATATACATGAAAACATAAACTAGTACTTCATAATAATTATACATATTATCTCGACATCTTCAGATATTCTATACCTTCCCTCTTAATTTGTTAAACACTTTAGTTAATTCTAAACTAAATCTATTAATCAAATTTAACCATTAATAATTGCTTAAATACCATCTTCATGTGTGAATGCACTATGTATGTAGATTATGATTGAATTGATACATATGAAAAGGTCATATTTCATGTTCTTAATTTTATTGGCCATTTCCTTTTTTTATGCGGCCTTATTGTTTCTTTTTTTCTAGAATATGGCAATCGATGTTACGTACGATGCCTGTGATCTGCCCGCGCTAACATAGTTGACAGCTCATTGCCACACAGTGGTAAGTTATGTGTATATTTGTGTTTATGTGACAGGGCGTGGAGTCATCCCACAGAGGACATCCTTACCTTGTCAGCTTGCTGACGGGGTTAACCTCTTTGGTCATGTGGACAAGGCGTCCGTCCTCTGATCAGAAGGTCCGTGGTTCGAATCCCATCACGGGACTCGGAAATTTTATGGCCGCTACATTGGCGCCCAACGTGGGGCTGAGCACGTCCATATTAAATTTGAGCAAAATAAGCTTCACTACCCTACTATGCGGCCCGGGACGTGCCTTCTGTTGACTGGGGAGTATGTAGCAGGGCGTGGAGTTATCCCACAGATGACATCCTTACCTTGTCAGCTTGCTGACGGGGTTAAACTCTTTGGTCATGTGGACAAGGCGTCTGACTTCTGATCTGAAGATCCGTGGTTCGAATCCCATCACGGGACTCGGAAATTTTATGGCCGCTTCAAAAGTAATTATTCTATCCATTTTAACGAATAAAATACCACAATAATTTAATCAAAACACTTATGTTTGGCCATGTAATTTAAACTGATTTGTTTGTATCGTGTTACCTCAGAGAAAACACACATTTACCTCAGGGACATCTGACATAAATGTTTTGAGAAGGTACAAATCGAACAATGGTTCTGTGACGTACCGCAATTTGAATGTTAGTTTTCATCATTTTACGGAATAATGTTGTGATCCGTCTTTTATAAATAACCACGCACATGTCAATAAGGGAGGTAACTTCGCGACTTGACATTGATAAACATGGATTGAACTTGAAATCGCAGGTGAGTATTTTGACTCATGATCTAGTTATGCTCGTGCTTATGACAACAAATACACGGGGAAATAATATCTGTCCCAGGTCAGCATGATATTCTGATCGATAAAATATATAAAGAGAAGAGTTAATAAAATGCTCCTAGAAATGCGTCGATCCATATACGAAATGGTATGATCATTGATCAACCGTATTTATTAGGTATAGTATGTTTCGTAACTCTCGTACATAAAATAATAATATAAAATGTGTCTTTTTTACCAGTGGTTTCGGTAGAGTTCTCGTTGCTCTTTATGTTATAGCTAACTCTTTAACACTTGAAATGACGATAAGAAAATAATAATTTATGTTGTTTATTTTGTTGGGCCCATGCTGAAAAAAAGGAGTAATTTTACTAAGGCCATTTATTCGAACATTTCTATCTTCATGTCTTCATTGTCAAACGGTTACAGAAGAAAGGGGGTATGTTTAGATAATTACTTTAGATAATCAAGAGATCACGATTGATGGACCAAATAACAGACACCCATAATTTCTATTGATGTGCTGTAGGTACAATGTATATTATTGTGTGTCCATTGGGACGCAGCATATTTTGTTTCTGCGTCCATTCTCTACATTTGAGCGTACTGGACGCACTTTTGTGTGTCGGATAAAACCCTGAAATGGCATTCCTTACACTCTCTTGACCTTGATTGGAAATGACTATGTACAGTGTATATACCGTATTCGACATAATAAGCGCCCAGGCCACTCTCAAAATTAGAAATAGGGGGCTCTTATTAGAATATTATTTTGTCGAAAAAAAAAAAGAGTTGAAAGATAAATTTCGTGGTTTATGCTGACAGCCTGAAATGTTTATATACAAGAGATATATTTTTCCAGAATGTAATTGCCCATTACTAAGGGTGCATATAACACACGAGTGCATATTATAAGCAAATAAATACGTCTTGTGTACATTGATCAATCGGAAAGGGTGCTAATTGGAATTGTTCACTAGCCAATATATTAGCAAATATCGCCTGGGGCGCTTATTACGTCGAATACGGTAACCATTTGGGTGTTTCGCTTAATTTAAATTCTGTAACACTGATTATTTATCCTTCATCTTTGATTTTCTCACAGGTGATGAGTGAATGAGGTTGTGCAGAACATGATGGAGTCCTGCAAGGGTCTTCCTGGATTTGTCTGGGTATGTCCACAGCCCAGTGTAGACCGATGTCACCGTGTGCCGAGACAGTCAGTATGGCAGACACTGTCCTTCCCAAGAGTGTATGCAGCAGAGATGCCAACAGCCACGGACAAAATAGAACAGGCTGTGTCCACAGACACCATAAAAACAGTGAACTTTGTTTCTGAAAGGGAAATACAAGAATATATGATGAAAGAAACAGGAAAAGACCGTCTTGTGAAGATGTTTTCAAAAAAGTGAGATGTGTATTTGCTGTCGGGGTTTTCCCTAAATTTTGAAATTGAAGATCAAGATGACACACCAAGAAATTGTTTAACAAGTCAAGTTAGATTTTGGGGATGATAGCAATGGCGTGAAACATCATACATGATATTATTTGTTGTATTAGGACTTCTTTAGCAAATCAGTTGTAAGTGAGTGTGCCAAATTTGCAAGGGGATCACTCATAAGTGTGTGTAAGCTAAAGACATGAGACACCATATCTAACCGTAAGTAACCTTCGTAAGTGTCAGGGGCGGTCGGGTAGCCTAGTGGTTAAAGCGTTCGCTCGTCTCGCCGAATATCCGGGTTCGATTCTCGACATGGGTACAATGTGTGAAGCCCATTTCTGGTGTCCCCCGCCTTGATATTGCTGCAATATTGCAAAAGCGGCGTAAAACCATACTCACTCACTCACTCGTAAGTGTCAGTCACCAATAGGACACTTTCCATTCATTTCCTTACCGCCTTAGACTTGACTAGGGAAATTTGCGCTAAAGTTAACATTGGGCTCAGTCGGTTTATTTTGTCGGGAAAACAATCCAAAGGTAGGGATTTCACGTCCGACAGAATCTCATATAAACTAGTTGCTGTCTTAGTGACATGTGACCTATGGCAGAGGTCGTCCTCATGAGAAGTTACTACTACTACTTCTACTACTACTACTACTACTACTGCTACTACTACAAGGTACTATATTGGAAAAGGTGCTTATATTCTCAGCAAAATGATGTGCATCAGATCGATGCAGAAAGTTTGATATTTTTGTCATATTTAGTCAAATAAGCAGAGTTCTTACATCAGCAAAGTTCCAGTCTCTGTATTGAAGCGTTTACAAATCTCACTGGTATTTGGTGAACATAAAGTATGCATACATAATACTCGTATTTATGATTAATAAATTTGTTACCAGAATAGAAAACTTTGTTTAACATTGCATGCTACTACAGTATAAGTTTCAATGATAAAGACTGACACACTTTTTGGCATATCATTTGCATCCAGTCTCAATGTCCAGGCATCCGTGCAAAGGATGCAATATATTTTGACGAGTGAAAGCCTATTTTTCCATTTTCTGTAACCGCAGTCATATAGGTGGGTGGAGCCCGGAGGTGCAGTTTATAAAGCAGGTGACAACACAAACAGCTTTAATCACCTTCCTCATCACGTCCTTCGTTGGCGGCCGACATGCGAGGGAGGAGTTTGTCAGGAAGCACCAGGCGACCGTCTTTTCTACACGGTTCAGGGCGTTTGTGAGTGAATGTTTTGGTCCCATGTTCTTGCTTAGTGGGGGCTGTGGGGTAGCCTACTGGTTAAAGCGTTCGCTCGTCAAGCCACAGACCTGGGTTCAATTCCCCACATGGGTACAATGTGTGAAGCCTTTTTCTGGTGTCCTCCGCAGTGATATTGCTGGAATATTGCTAAAAGCGGCTTAAAACCATACTCACTCACTCAATCAATCAACATGGAAATGAGAAACAATTTGTAGCAATAATGCCCTGTAGCATTAGGTTTTCCTGATGACACATGTTTGCCAATGACAGTGGTTTTATATACATATGACATAATGCTGTAGCATACATGTAATGGCATTAGGTACAATTGGATGTCAATATAAGCATCTATTTCAGAGATCACTTCAAGATTCTATTTTCATGAAGAGTTTGTTGGATGGAGCAAAGTGGACAGTAAAAGTCTCCCTGTTCACAGTGTCCTTGTTGTAAGTAATAACACTTAGTCTGTAACGTTGATGAAATCTTATCAGTGAGTGAGTGAGTTGGGCTTAACACCGCTTTTAACAGTATTCCAGTTATATCGTGGCGTGTCAGCTTAATGTGGGAGGAAAGCCCGAAGTGATGCAGGTCTCAGACGTATGCCACTTCGGTGAAACCCACGAGCACGGGTATGGTGCTGACAAACCTAGAAACATAATTGGGGCGAACCGGGATTCGAACCCACAATCACAGGTTTCTGGCATGCCCAAGGGACGCAACTCTGCACAGCGAATCGCGGCGCCTCAGACTACTGGGCCACCCGTGCACCCTGAAATCTTATCAAGTTTTGCTGTTATGAAATGGTACACAAAGCTGATTACTTATATCACCCCCATGAAGATCTGGGGTAGAATAGGTCTTCAGCAACCGATGCTTGCCGTAAAAGGTGACTTTGCTTGTCGTCAGAGGCCACTAACAGGATGGGGTGGTCAGGCTCAGTGACTTGGTTGATGCATGTCATCGTATCCCGGATCGATGCTCATGATGTCAGTCAGTGGATTGTCCGGTCCAGACTCGATTATTTATAGACTGCCGTCATATAGCTGGAATATGCCGAGTGCGGTGCTAAACAATAAACAAACAATCAAACAAACAAAGTTATAATATCATGGCCAGTTGTCTTAGGTGCTGCAATTCTCTGTGCAGAGTTGCATCCCTTGGGGACACCAGGAACCTATGGTTCCCCCCCATTATGTTCCTTGGTCTGTCAGCACTGTATCCAGGTTGTGGCTTTCACCAAAGTGGTAAAACTGTGAGAAACCATTTCGGGCTTTCCTCCCACATTAAGCTGACACGCTGTGATATAACTGGAATGCTGTTCAACCTAACTCACTCACTATAAGATCAGGGATAGAAATGCATTTGTTTTTCCAATATGCCACAGGGCAATCATAGAGATGTTTGGAATTTAAGTGTGCCCACAAGAATACAACCCCCTTTTATCAATCTTCAGACTCGGTGAATGTAATGTCAGCCAGGATAACAAGCTGTTGTAGTTTATGAAGTTTTCCCCCTTCCATTTCATTATTAAAACTGATAATGATACATGTATAAAACACATGTTTGAGTCCCAGGTATATTTTGTGAAGCATACAGCGCATTTACTGTGTTCATATATTTTTAAAAAAATGCCTCAATGGTGTAGTGGAAAGAGCATCTTGGTTCAAACACAATGGCAGCTCCCAGTCAAGACGATCTGATTAATAATCAAGATCTATATTGTCATAAAACGGGTTTTACCCGCGAAGTGCATCAAATCACTTGAGCACCTTTATTAAAAACATGAACAAATTTGTAAAATATTTGTTGATGCGGATTTGGCGGTACAAATGCTTTGCAAATCCTGTAGTCCGAAATCTGCATGTTGAAATCCATGTTGTTTACGAACCAGATGTCTAGTTCGTTACGCTATTTTGATTGGACCATGCATAGACTCGTTAGTTCAGCTTACATATAACTCCGGAATTCCAGCCTGGTTCGGCAAGAGTTGAAACTGGATGTTTAAAGTCAGTTAACTCCCTTGTCTCGGGACAATCCCCTGGCTGCATTTTCTTCTATGGTTATTTTCTTAATTACCAGGACACGCATGCACAAAGTGATCTTAGCGCTAAGATGATCGTAACTCCCATACTTTAACATAGGTTTACGATAATCTTAGTGCTAAGATCGCTTTGGGCAAGTGGGCCCAGATCAATATATGTGATTGGGATGGGGGAGTATTTTGAGAAAACAGAGAGATACCGGACAAGTACTTTTTTGTTTGGATGTTTGAAACAATAATTGTTTTGTTTTGGGTAACATCATTATCAAACAAGTTTTAATGTGATCAGTTTGAAAATAATGTTTGACCACAGGACATTCCTAGAAAGCTGATGACTTAATTTTGCAATTTGTTTCAGAGGTATATCACAGTCCATTGCTGTATATCGCAATAAGTCATCTCCATGGGAATATTCAATAGGCTTAGGTAAGTTTATCCGGCACTGACACTTTCAGGAACTACGACTTTGATCCAGGGGGATATACGGTTTGAACAGGTACCCAGCAATACATACTGATTGTAAGAGGCGACTAACAGGATCAGGTGGTCAGGCTCGCTGAGTTCTTTGATGCAATTTCGTGGATTGATGCTCATGATGTCAATCACTGGATTGTCTGGTTCAGTCTCAATTTATTTACAGACCGCCAGAATATCGCCGAGTGTGGCATTAAAAAACAAACAAACAAACAAAGCATGGAAACCATGCCGCTCACAATAGCTTACTAACATGGTGTCAGCTCATTGATATTTATAATTACAATACTGTAATACGTTATTAGTGTTGAACTTGGTACATCGTGAAATCCAGTTAATACAGACGATGCCATCCCAGTTAAGATCGGTTGGACTACCACATTTCAAGATTAAGGAATCATTGTTACAACCCCTTGCTATTTATAGAACTCCATTGTCATCAGGCTGCCATCACAAAGCTGGAATGTTGCTGAGTGCGGCGTAAAACAAAAAATGAATAAATTCTATTTGGCGTTTTGCGTAACCTGCACATCTTAACACTACAGCATCTCTGCAATCTAACCGAGTCATGATAAGCAGATATCGTATGTATGTTATCTACCATGAAAAGAAAACATTTTAAAAGAAATATTATTTGCCACACAGATATCAATCAGAATTGATTTGCAAACAAAGATGTTTTTTGGGGGCACGAGAGGCCCAGTCGTCTCAGGCGCCGCGATTTGCTGTGCACGCCAGAAACCTATGATTGTGGGTTCGAATCCCGGTTCGCCCCGATTATGTTTCTAGGTTTGTCAGCACCATACCCATGCTCGTGGGTTTCACCGAGGTGGTCAACGTCTGAGACCTGCATCACTTCAGACTTTCCTCCCAAATTAAGCTGACATGTTGTGATATTACTGGAATACTGCTAAAAGCGGCGTTAAACCCTACTCACTCACTCACTCAGATGTTATTACAGTGATAGAAAAGATTTTATTCAGGTATAATTGTCATTTCTTTGGGATCCAAATATGTCAAAGATGTTTATTAGAATGAATTGAAGACTCACTTAACAATGTGTTGATTGTGTTCATACAATTTTGGGGTGATGGGGTAGCTAAGTGGTGTTCATCTTGCCAAAGGCCTGGGTTCAATTCCCTTCAGTTAAAATGTGTGAAGCCTATTCCTGGTGTCCCCTGCTGTGATGATGATGGAATATTGCTACATGCTGTGTAAAAGCATACTCCCTCACTCACTCACTCACTTCATGCACTCACTCACTCACTCACTCACTTCATGCAATTTAGTCCAAGTTACAACTTACAATGTTTCAATCAAGATAGATTTAACAAATGTTATATTTGGCTTAACACTTTCTTAGTAAAGTACAGATTCTTATACTTTTTTTGGTTGAGTCCAATCCGATTGGTGAGTAGGTGCCTCACTCTGGCAATGTGGGTTCGAATCCCGGATGGGACTCAACTAAGAAAAAGTACGAGAATCTGTACTTTACCAAGAAAGTTACATTTGACCACATTCTAAATGGCATTCGTGTGTTCAAAGATTGATTTAGGCTAATTGTTAGAAATAATTGTCAACAGCAGAAATATGCTGTCATATAATTTCCACGTAGATAGGAAGTTTGCTACTGGTACTTACTGGTACACAATTTTCAAGCAGCTTTCTGAGAAAGAATTACACTACTAGTGTTAACATTATCTTTGACCATTTGTACTGAGATACTAAAGTAAGTGCTTTGGTTTGACAGTATCAATCTCTCTTGTTATAGGAATAACAGCAGCCTTCTTGAAGTGCAACTTGGGACTTAAGGGAATGTTTGCTGGAGGTGTGTTTGGAACAGTGATGGGGTAAGATTCATTAGGGGCAATGATAGAAGCCCTAATTTTTAACATTAACAGGTTAAACATTCTCTCTCTTCAAACTTAAGCATGTTTAAAACTGTCCGTTTTGTCTTTTCATTTCCAGCCTTGTAGGAGGGACAGCTATTTGGGGGATCATGTATGCACTGAATGAGACTCAGGAACAGAGGAACTACTGGAAGGTGCAGAAACACCTGGAGATGGAGAAGTAAATAAATCATTTTGTGAAATATTTTCAACAAAAGTAACAATAAATTGACTAATTCATGGTTAACGAATGCAAATTGTTTCCCGTATTATGTGTTAGTATTTAGTATTTACTGTGTACCCAACCCCAGCCAACCATTTTCCAGAAAGCAGTTGTCGTGGAAGGCTATGTCTTCACCTGAACACCGACATACTCCATACTCGCTGTGCAGAGTTGCGTCCCTTGGGCAGGCCGGAAACCTATGATTGTGGGTTCAAATCCCGGTTCACCCTGATTATGTTTCTAGGTTTGTCAGCACCATACCAGTGCTCGTGGGTTTCACCGAAGTGGTAAACGTCTGAGAACTGCATCACTTCGGGCTTTCCTCCGACATTAAGCTGGCACGCTGTGATATACTTTTAAAAGCAGCGTTAAAACCAACTCACTCACTCACTTTAAGTTTGATTGGTAAGGCTCGTGGGCTTGGTCAGTACTTGTCATCATCATACCACTTGTACTAATACCGTATTCGACGTAATAAGCGCCCCGCTCTAATAAGCGCCCACGGCGATATTTTCCAATATATTGGCTAGTGAACAATCCCAATTAGCACCCTTCCGACTGATCAATGTACACAATTCGTGTACATTTATTCGTGTATAATACCCACTCGTGTGTTATATGCACCCTTAAGTATGGGCGATTAAATTCTGGAAAAATATATCTGTCGTGTATAATACGCACAGACTTTTACTTTTGTATCATTTCAGGCTGTATCATTTACGACCTTTCGACTCTTTCACCAAAATTATATTCTAAGAAGAGCCCCCTATTACTAATTTTGAGAGCGCCCTGGGCGCTTATTACGTCGAATACGGTAATAGTAATAGGGTACATGATACCTTTTTCTCTGTATCGATACAAGACATTACACTTGCTGAAATAAATAACTTACTACTTGTTTATTTGACCACTTCCTTTTTTTTCCGATTGTGTTGTAATTAGCTTTTAAAGCTCACTACTAAAAATAGCCACTAAGAACATGTGTCTACAGCTAGCATGTCCTTTTGGACCTGCTCTGAAATATCTATTGACAAGAGGTTTCCACACGATTTTGACATATATGCGTATGATGATATGCATCGTGATCTGTGTATCGTGTTACGTATCGTATCATGACCTTGCTGTATCGTTTCACCCAAAATTGCTAATATTATGAATCAGTTTTGTTGCTACTCAGTTATTTACCGGCTGCCACAGTATTGACGACTGCAGCATAAAACGCAAAACTACTGATGTTGAAGTATTCATTATAAGATCTTCTGCGAATGATAAGTTGGATAAACATGACATTTATGTGAATTTTGTTTGGTTGACCCACGTATCTTATGCTTGGTTCTTGGTTCGTTCAAATTTGAGATAAAGAAATATCACATATACACAATTTGATGTATGTTTAATGAGCTTTACATTGAGTTCTTTGTACATGTAGTTACAATATGTTTCTGTTCTCTTCCCAGAGCATCAAGAGGTCTTCTTGTATCACCCGAAACAGGAGAACAACTTCAGCCCCAGCCAATGTCGTAGTTATCTCCCTTGATGGGGTGTCATCCTTCTGCGTTTAATTTGTCACTGAACATTTGTGCATGAGCTAATGTGAACGCTTTATCAAGATACAGAAGATGTGACCCATCTTCCTTCTGAAGTGACAGGGAAGGGTCTTTTTAAAGTGTTTGAAATCATCTGGTAGTCCTAATTATACCCCCGACCGTCCGTCCGAAAACTTTGTCCGTGCGATTTCTCTTAAACTATTCAGTGGATTTATCTCAAACTTAGTACATATAATCTGTGTCATATGGGGGGGGGGGGGGGGGGGGGGGGGGTGGGGGGGGGGTGCAGTCAAAAGAAAAGAATTGTTTTGATTAATTTTCCATTTTATTTTGAATTTTTCAAACCCTAACCCTATCCATTATTTAATTTGAAACTACTGACACACTAGGCGGGTCGGGGGTATTAGTGAGCCACGCTCACTTTTGCCCTAATTTAATGTCATTTTAAATATAATGTATACATATTATGGATGTGAATAAAACAAAAGCATATCAACTCCTTTGTCATTTTCACCACTTTTTTTCTTGCTTTTACAGGAAACAATTTACCACATCCACCCACCATTGATTGTGTGACATTTTAGAGCATACTTTATTTTATATTAACATCCCTGATCAGTCTGTAATTATCTGTAAGCACCATGATTGTCCATACTGGTATTAGTTTTGTCTATAGTACACATTTTTTAGAGAAAACAGAATGTTCTAGTGTTAGTGTTCTAAGTATTGAAATATCCATGTGTATATCAACACAAAATCAAGATCTCAGAGAAAGTGAGTTTGATGTAATACTGTTTTGAACTGTCAAAATAGGCAATTGCACCGGACATAATTTTGTCAGTGATGCCTTGAATTTGGAAACTACCTCCTGCTGTCTGCAATAAAACCTTATATGAAGGCCTTGAATGTTCAAACCTTGATAAAACAACTTTTGAACAAGAGTCATATATGACGTAGAAATTAAGAGCATGTTCAATTATACATTATAAGCTGTAGCAGGATTACGAGGGGTATATGGAGTTTTACCAGGAGCTCTCCAACTGACATGGGACCAGAGACCATATATATGGTGGGACGCATAAAACCCCATGTACTCCGAGTGATCCTGCTACAACGAATTTATCTTACTGACATGTTTTAATGACATTGTAAAAGAATTAAAACAAATTTAAAATTGATAGAAAACAAAATTGAGCTGAGATAAACTTTTGCTATGTCACATGACTGTCATTGACTCCCAAAAAGCATGTTGCTTTTTGTTTTGAAGCGGGTATAAGGGATTTATTCTGTCTCTCAGAAATCCATGTGCAGCCTGACTTGCTCATGACCGGGTATAAGGGATTTATTCTGCCTCTGAGAAATCCACGTGCAGCCTGACTTGCTCATGACGGGGTATAAGGGATTTATTCTGGCTCTCAGAAATCCACATGCAGACTGACTTGCTCATGATGGGGCATAAGGGATTTATTCTGCCTCTGAGAAATCCTTGTGCAGACTGACTTGCTCATGACGGGGTATAAGGGATTTATTCTGCCTCTCAGAAATCCACGTGCAGACTGACTTGCTCATGACGGGGTATAAGGGATTTATTCTGCCTCTCAGAAATCCATGTGCAGTCTGTGCTCATGACGGGGTATAAGGGATTTATTCTGCCTCTCAGAAATCCACGTGCAGTCTGTGCTCATGACGGGGTATAAGGGATTTATTCTGCCTCTCAGAAATCCACGTGCAGTCTGTGCTCATGACGGGGTATAAGGGATTTATTCTGCCTCTCAGAAATCCACGTGCAGTCTGTGCTCATGACGGGGTATAAGGGATTTATTCTGCCTCTCAGAAATCCACGTGCAGTCTGTGCTCATGACGGGGTATAAGGGATTTATTCTGCCTCTCAGAAATCCACGTGCAGTCTGTGCTCATGACGGGGTATAAGGGATTTATTCTGCCTCTCAGAAATCCACGTGCAGTCTGTGCTCATGACGGGGTATAAGGGATTTATTTTGCCTCTCAGAAATCCACGTGCAGTCTGTGCTCATGATGGGGTATAAGGGATTTATTTTGCCTCTCAGAAATCCACGTGCAGTCTGTGCTCATGACGGGGTATAAGGGATTTATTTTGCCTCTCAGAAATCCAAGTGCAGTCTGTGCTCATGACGGGGTATAAGGGATTTATTTTGCCTCTCAAAAATCCACGTGCAGCCTGACTTGCTCATGATGGGGTATAAGGGATTTATTCTGGCTCTCAGAAATCCACGTGCAGCCTGACTTGCTCATGACGGGGTATAAGGGATTTATTCACCAGCTGAGAAATTTATTTCCTTCCAAGGCGGGATACATAGTATTTTATCAAAATCACGTGAACCAATCAGATCTCATCATTCTGACTTAGAGGTATGACAAGAGTTGTAAAATGAAGACATCAAAGGCGTGAGTTGTTAGAATTTTGCTCTTTGTCAACTAAAATGTTGTGATGTAGGTTCATGATTTACTTAATAACAGACATGGCTCCATACATAAAACTAGGATCTAAGCACGGTTACATGAAGGGATTGATTTAAGATTGTGATCTTACCCGAATCATTTCAGAATGCTGACATCTGTTCGGCCTAAAAACTCACACATTCTTCAAAATTGGACTATGATTAAGTGGAAACTTGTCTTTTCTTGTCAAATTACATTTTTATCTCATCTCGTGACCTGAAAAAATTGACATTTTCACACTCGATGATAATCATATGTTATTTGACAAACAAAAGGAAAATATCCTCGATTATCCAGCGTGTAATATTATCATCGTAATGGAGCGGAGATATGATACGCTGGATAATCGAGGATTTAAGCAGCCCGTATGTAACCACCCCAGAGCTGTTTTGATCACAGTGTTCCAATAATCGTGACTTGGTTCTTACAATACAGACTGCCAAGTGGGCAACCCTGTCAGCCGGGAAACCCCACATTCCAGACGATCACTGTTATGTGGAGAAGCGTCAACATGTATTAAAAGGACATTCATTAATTTTTATCTTAATTAATCCTGACATTTAAATGGGAGCAGTACTGTGAGGGTGGTCGAGGCTCACAATAAGCACTGACCAACACTAATGCAGGTAGGTGTAAACATGCTCTATTTCCTAAAACATAGTAAAACCAGTGGATTAATTGTATGAATTATATGAGACTCAGATTGAGGTTTATAGAAATGCTGTAGGTTGCAATTTTGTGTTCCGTGAAATTTATATACTTCCGACAGATTAGGGACACTTTCTGTTTGATTTGTCATGAAATCTGGTTTACAGTTATTCCTGTATTATATCGTTGTAGTTGTAGTTTATCATCTGCCGGCCACACAAATGGGACGGGTGTTTAATTTCAGTTCCACGGCTGACAGCCAGGTGCATATAGAACATGAATTAGGTTGCGCCCGATTTTCCTTTCTCTTAGGTAGAGTGGAAGCTCCGGGGTTCGATCCCCGGCTGCGTCATACCAAAAGACGTTAAAAGATGGTACTTGTTGTTACCCTGTCTGGCGCTCGGCATTAAGGGGCTAAAACAAGGACTGGTCGGCTCGGAGTCAGTATACTATCTGAGTGAGGTATTGATGTTAAACTGCGGCATGGTATCTCAGTGTGCTAGCACTATAAATCGGCATCAGTCCGGACTAGTACAAGCAGCCACACACACACGTGCATGCACGTCGCTATATAAGTGCAATAATCTTGGACGCGACGTTAAACCCCATTTCACCTCACCTTACCTCCTTTCTGTTGGATATTTTCACATTAAATAAACAACTTAGCAAATCGTGATTAAATTGTAAATACGTTTGATTAAAAGTGTGTAGAATTCAGACCCTGTGATGGAATGAACGACGATTCTCATATCGATGTTCCGTTCGATATGAGTATTCCGACAGAAAATAAATGGATATATCCCCGTTAGACAAGAATATAAAGGCTACAACTTGCTTCATATAAAAAAAAGAACTATTGAATACATGTGTGGTATTATACATATATTGAATAGGTGATGTCACAGAAATGGTGAAATGCACACCATAAAACATTATTTTAAGGAGTCGAGGCGCTCTGGGATGGCTACCACACAATTTTTAAACGTAAGACGATTTTTATTCTCCAGATCATTGATCCGTCCCTGGTGCGATTCCCTGAATATTGTTGATTTCTCTGATTTAAATGTCACTTATATCTTTCCTAAAACGATATTTTACTGATATTGACGCTAGAGAAGCTACAATACGAACGTCTTGTCTATATGAATAACACTAAGCTGGCCCATATGACTGAGAGAGAGTGCCCCATATGCTGAGAGAGCCTGCCTACAGCGAGCGAGATCACGAACATTCCAGAAGCGAGAAGCTCCGCCTACTGCGATATTTTTAGTTTCGCGAATGCGCACTGGCGTTGTTTCGTCACATCCGTAAACAGTAACACGCTGTCATTCCAGATCTCGAATCCTCTCTTACTTACTCGTTGCGTTTGCTGGAAGAATCGACGAGGTTGTGGGTCTGTTGTGTAGCTGTATATAAGGTGAGGGTTTTAACTGGATGTCATTCTGTCATTCAGCTTCAACACTGAACACGACTAACAACAGACCACCGAAGCAGCGCGAACTCCAAGTGTATATACAACGTAACTGGGCCATTTACATTGAACTACTTCACCTACAGCGTTGACGAGAAGAAACCATCAACGACGATGTTGTTCCACGTGGTACCCGAGAACATGTTCGGAGACCGTGTCGGTTTTTCAAGACCCTGCTATTACCGGAGACACCCATGCCGTCGACAGCAGCAGTTGAGTAATATTGGGTTTCTCCACGACATTCTCCGCCCTCTAATGGTGATGTCGCACAACAACCCTGGGTCGGAACGCTGTCACGGTAGACGCCCATGTGACACAGAGACATGTCAGGGTGTCACACGTCGAGGGACACAGAAGGAGGAGTGTCCTTCCCAGAAACAGGTGCCGAAGTCTATGATTGCATGCCTCGATTTCCGCGGTTTTTCTGCAGATGAAATAAAAGTGAAAGTCACAGACAGCGCCGTAGTTGTGTGTGGCCGACATGATGACCCCGAGAACTCCTTCCGGGTCACTAGAACACTTCCGCTGCCACCTGGTGTTGACAAAACGGGAATTATCTGCCGATATGTTGACGGCAAGGTCACCCTTGAGATACCCGCCTCCGCGAAAGACAGCGTGGAGGACAAATCGGAGAGGCAAGAGGATGAGAAGAAAGTTGAACACAAAGAGGAGAATAACCAAACTGACCCTACCAGGACAAGTGACACGGGCAGTGTTAATGATGACGACGGTGGAATGGAAATAGAAAGTGGGAATCCTGACAAGGATGAAGAACCTGCTGAACAGATGACGACAGATCAAGGCAGAGTTGAGCCTCGTCCGGAAGAGGCCAACACAACGGAAGCCGAGTCCTTTGACAAGCATATGGAAGCAGAGGAAGAGAAAGGGCAAGAGGAATATACCTGCCTAATGTTGAAACATGATGAGAAGTTGTCTCTCGCAGATGACGTTGATGACCTAGTGCACGTACAGAAGCAGACGACAGGTGACAGTGCTCCAGAGCAGACGACAGTCAGTAAAATGGGCGAAGAAGAAGTAGCAGCACGATTGATGTCTGATGGAGAGGAAGATGTTGACAAGACTCAGGCCGAAGCCGATGAGAGAGCTCCTGCCTCCTCAACATCACAATATTTCCAAATTCGGTTCGATCTGTCCAGCTACAAACCAGACAACATCCGGGTAGTTGTAAGAAGTGGTGACGTCATCGTGGAGGCCGAACGCGAGAGCACGTGTGACGGTTACAGCGAGACTGAGACACTGCGAAGGCGCATTCGTCTCCCGGACAAAGTGGACCAGTCCATGTTGACGAGTGTCCTGAATGCAGAAGGCGAGATGACCATTCAGGCGCCATTCCTGTCTCAGGCCATCAGTGGGAAGGAAGAGAAAACTGTCCCGGTTATTTGGGAGTGACTTGAGACTGTGGACAGATCATGACGGATATATAGGACTCAGTATTCGATGTGTTTAGGTGGTCACATTTCTGTCTCACATATATGTTATTTAGTAAAAATGTGCGTCTTGATATGTACTGTCGCTAAAAGGATTATAGCGACAGTACATATTTATCGTGTTATGGAATTTATGGTTTGATAAAAACATTTCTCTGTCAGATGCCAAGAATTGTTTACATTGTTTTGTTTTAGTTTTAAACTTATATATTTAAAATGTAAACTACTGTCGCGTCAGTATTGGGTTAAAGTGTACACTCTGACTTCCTCCCTGTACATAATCCAATTACATTCATCACAATAATTACCAAAATTACCACATATTGCATTATTTTTCATTTCGTTGTTGATCTTTGTTCGTACACAGATCAAAGGCTATATTTGTAACATTGTCATATGATATCAAGTTTCATATATTTCCCCATACATTGGTTTTGTTGAAACGTGTATCATGTTTCACAAGGTAATAAAATGACGAGGCATACATCCACATCCTGAGGTTTTCTTTTGAATATTTTATGTCGCAGAAGCATCTCGGTTGATATGAAGACTCATATCGTGCAATACACACGCTGTGTATGTTGTAAATAATATTTATACTGCTCGAGCCACGTGAAGATCCGGGATAGAATGGGTCTTCAGCAACCCATGCTTGCCGTAAAAGGTGACTATGCTTCTCGTAAGAGGTGACTAACGGGATCGGCTGGTCAGGCTCGCTGACTTGGTTGATGCATGTCATCGTTTCCCAATTGCGTGAATCGATGCTCATGACATCAATCACAGGATTGTCTGGTCTAGACTCGATTACTTATAGACCGCCGTCATATAGCTGGAATATTGCGGAATGCGGCGTTGAACTGCAAACAAAAAAACATACTGCTCGACCATAACGAGGGCTGTACCATGGGCCAGTGTGCAGTGAAGCACCATTAACCCGGACGGTACCTGTGTCGGTGTAATCGTCCAGATCAACACACTGCCTGATTAACATAGTACCGATAGCACTGTTGAAACAGTGACGACCCTATCTATTGAAAACAATCCAACTATGAAATTTTGGGATCAGCAATTTTGGCGCATTTGATGACATTTTAAGATCACTTGATCTTAAGGTTTAGTGCGTTGTTCCACCCATCCATCCTTCAATCTGTCAGTGTGGAACTACATGACCAAGAACCCACCCCCCCCCCCCCCCCTCCACCGCCCTTAGTCTGGGGTTGTTTCCCATACATTATACAGTAGACACATTATTCTAGCGTTGTTCCCCGTACATTGTAAAGTAGAGTCATTTTTCTAGGGTTGTTTCCCGTGCATTGTACAGTAGACACATTATTCTAGCGTTGTTTCCCGTACATTGTACAGTAGACACATTATTCTAGCGTTGTTTCCCGTACATTGTACAGTAGACACATTCTTCTAGGGTTGTTTCCCGTACATTGTACAATAGACACATTATTCTAGGGTTGTTTCCCGTACATTGTACAGTAGACACATTATTCTAGGGTTGTTTCCCGTGCATTGTACAGTAGACACATTATTCTAGGGTTGTTTCCCGTGCATTGTACAGTAGACACATTATTCTAGGGTTGTTTCCCGTACATTGTACAGTAGACACATTATTCTAGGGTTGTTTCCCGTACATTGTACAGTAGACACATTATTCTAGGGTTGTTTCCCGTACATTGTACAGTAGACACATTCTTCTAGGGTTGTTTCCCGTACATTGTACAATAGACACATTATTCTAGGGTTGTTTCCCGTACATTGTACAGTAGACACATTATTCGAGCGTTGATTCCCGTACACTGTAGAGTAGACTCATTATTCTAGTGTTGTTTCCCGTACATTGTACAGTAGACACATTATTCTAGGGTTGTTTCCCGTACATTGTACAGTAGACACATTATTCTAGGGTTGTTTCCCGTACACTGTACAGTAGACACATTCTTCTAGGGTTGTTTCCCGTGCATTGTACAATAGACACATTATTCTAGGGTTGTTTCCCGTACATTGTACAGTAGACACATTATTCGAGCGTTGATTCCCGTACACTGTAGAGTAGACTCATTATTCTAGTGTTGTTTCCCGTACATTGTACAGTAGACACATTCTTCTAGGGTTGTTTCCCGTACATTGTACAATAGACTCATTATTCTAGTGTTGTTTCCCGTACATTGTACAGTAGACACATTATTCGAGCGTTGATTCCCGTACACTGTAGAGTAGACTCATTATTCTAGTGTTGTTTCCCGTACATTGTACAGTAGACACATTCTTCTAGGGTTGTTTCCCGTACATTGTACAATAGACTCATTATTCTAGTGTTGTTTCCCGTACATTGTAGAGTAGACACATTATTCGAGCGTTGATTCCCGTACACTGTAGAGTAGACTCATTATTCTAGTGTTGTTTCCCGTACATTGTACAGTAGACACATTCTTCTAGGGTTGTTTCCCGTACATTGTACAATAGACTCATTATTCTAGTGTTGTTTCCCGTACATTGTACAGTAGACACATTATTCGAGCGTTGATTCCCGTACACTGTAGAGTAGACTCATTATTCTAGTGTTGTTTCCCGTACATTGTACAGTAGACACATTCTTTTAGGGTTGTTTCCCGTACATTGTACAATAGACACATTATTCTAGTGTTGTTTCCCGTACATTGTACAGTAGACACATTATTCGAGCGTTGATTCCCGTACACTGTAGAGTAGACTCATTATTCTAGGGTTGTTTCCCGTACATTGTACAGTAGACACATTATTCGAGCGTTGATTCCCGTACACTGTACAGTAGACACATTATTCTAGTGTTGTTTCCCGTACATTGTACAGTAGGCACATTATTCTAGGGTTGTTTCCCATACATTGTACAGTAGACACATTATTCTAGGGTTGTTTCCCGTACATTGTACAGTAGACACATTATTCTAGGGTTGTTTCCCGTACATTGTACAGTAGACACATTATTCCAGCGTTGATTCCCGTACACTGTACAGTAGACACATTATTCTAGTGTTGTTTCCCATACATTATACAGTAGACACATTATTCTAGGGTTGTTTCCCGTACATTGTACAGTAGACACATTATTCTAGGGTTGTTTCCCATGTATTGTACAGTAGACACATTATTCTCTGGTTGTTTCCCATGTATTGTACAGTAGACATTATTCTATGGTTGTTTCCCGTACATTGTACAGTAGGCACATTATTCTAGGGTTGTTTCCCGTACATTGTACAGTAGACACATTATTCCAGGGTTGTTTCCCGTACATTGTACAGTAGACACATTATTCTAGGGTTGTTTCCCGTACATTGTACAGTAGACACATTATTCCAGCGTTGATTCCCGTACACTGTACAGTAGACACATTATTCTAGTGTTGTTTCCCATACATTATACAGTAGACACATTATTCTAGGGTTGTTTCCCGTACATTGTACAGTAGACACATTATTCTAGGGTTGTTTCCCGTACATTGTACAGTAGACACATTATTCGAGCGTTGATTCCCGTACACTGTACAGTAGACACATTATTCTAGTGTTGTTTCCCATACATTATACAGTAGACACATTATTCTCTGGTTGTTTCCCATGTATTGTACAGTAGACATTATTCTATGGTTGTTTCCCGTACATTGTACAGTAGGCACATTATTCTAGGGTTGTTTCCCGTACATTGTACAGTAGACACATTATTCTAGGTTTTTTTCCCGTACATTGTACAGTAGACACATTATTCTAGGGTTGTTTCCCGTACATTGTACAGTAGACACATTATTCTAGGGTTGTTTTCCGTACATTGTACAGTAGACACATTCTTCTAGGGTTGTTTCCCGTGCATTGTACAGTAGACACATTATTCTAGGGTTGTTTCCCATACATTGTACAGCAGACTCATTATTCTAGGGTTGTTTCCCGTACATTGTAGAGTAGACTCATTATTCTAGGGCTGTTTCCCGTACATTGTACAGTAGACACATTATTCTAGGGTTGTTCCCGTACATTGTACAGTAGACACATTATTCTAGGGTTGTTTCCCATACATTGTACAGTAGACACATTATTCTAGGGTTGTTTCCCGTACATTGTACAGTAGACACATTATTCTAGGGTTGTTTCCCATACATTGTATAGCAGACTCATTATTCTAGGGTTGTTTCCCGTATATTGTACAGTAGACACATTATTCTAGGGTTGTTTCCCATACATTCTACAGCAGACCCATTATTCTAGGGTTGTTTCCCGTACATTGTACAGTAGACACATTATTCTAGGGTTGTTTCCCATACATTGTACAGCAGACTCATTATTCTAGGGTTGTTTCCAGTAGATTGTACAGTAGACTCATTATTCTAGGGCTGTTTCCCGTTCATTGTACAGTAGACGCATTATTCCAGCGTTGTTTCCCATGAATTGTACTGTAGACATTATTCTATGGCTGTTTCCCGTACATTGTACAGTAGAGTCATTATTCTAGGGTTGTTTCCCGTACATTGTACAGTAGACACATTATTCTAGGGTTGTTTCCCGTACATTGTACAGTAGACACATTGCTCTAGGGTTGTTTCCCATACATTGTACAGCAGACTCATTATTCTAGGGTTGTTTCCCGTACATTGTACAGCAGACTCATTATTCTAGGGTTGTTTCCCATACATTGTACAGCAGACTCATTATTCTAGGGTTGTTTCCCATAAATTGTACAGTAGACTCATTATTCTAGGGTTGTTTCCCATGCATTGTTTAGAAGACTGAACGTGTGTGCTACGTTCTTTTTCTCTCCGTTGTGTCCTTAACACGTGTCACAACATTAAAAAAAGTATCCTCAGTAGAGTGAGTGAGTTGGGTTTAACGCCGCTTTTGACAGTATTCCAGTTATATCACGGCGCGTCAGCTTAATGTGATGCAGGTCTCAGACGTTTACCACTTCGGTGAAACCCAGGAGCACGGGTATGGTGCTGACAAACCTAGAAACATAATCGGGTGAACCGGGATTCGAACCCACAATCACACGTTTCTGGCGTGCCCAAGGGACGCAACTCTGCACAGTGAATCGCGACGCCTTAGACGACTGGTCCACCCGTGCCCCCCGTTATAACCAATCTCGATTATTCCCATCAAATCCACAATACACTCCTGCTTCTCCAAAGGCTTGATTAAGTTTTCACTGAGATGTGTTATCCCCCTTGTACGAGCGTTCCACTTCATTTTACCCCAGGCATACCCAGATTTAAAGTCATACAAAACGACAGAGTAATGAAGATGAAATATCATTGATCAACTTTTGGATTAATTGACAATGTTAAAATTGTAAATATGTTTGATTAAATGTGTGTAGAATTCAGAGACTATGATGGAATTAACGACGATTAATTAACGAAAATAACATGTTTAATATTGGTTTACATATCCTGTTTGTCATTCTTTAACCGCACCCCCTTCCACTGAAGTTACAAAGGCCGAAGTGGACACACACCTGGATCCTTCCCTGGATGAGACTCCCCAAATATTGTTGATTTCTTTGATTTGAATGTCACATATATTTTCTAAAACGACATTTTACTAAAACTAACGCTAGAGAAAATACAATGCACACACATAGTGTTCATAAATAACACTAAGCTTGCCTGTATGACAGCGGGACCCTGCTGACAGCGAGCGAGATCACGAACATTCCAGAAGCGATAAGCTCCCCCTACTGCGATATTTTTAGTCTCGCGAATGCGCACTGGCGCTGTTTCGTCACATCCGTAAACAGTAACACGTTATCATTCCAGATCTCGAATCCTCTCTTACTTACTCGTTGCGTTTGCTGGAAGAATCGACGAGGTTGTGGGTGTATTGTGTAGCTGTATATAAGGTGAGGGTTTTAACTGGATGTCATTCTGTCATTCAGCTTCAACACTGAACACGACTGACAACAGACCGCCGAAGCAGCGCGAACTCCAAGTGTATATACAACGTAACTGGGCCATTTACATTGAACAACTTCACCTACGGCGTTGACGAGAAGAAACCATCAACGACGATGTTGTTCCACGTGGTACCCGAGAACATGTTCGGAGACCGTGCCGGTTGTTCAAGACCCTGCTTTTACCGGAGACACCCATGCCGTCGACAGCAGCAGTTGAGTAATATTGGGTTTCTCCACGACATTCTCCGCCCTCTAATGGTGATGTCGCACAACAACCCTGGGTCGGAACGCTGTCACGGTAGACGCCCATGTGACACAGATACATGTCAGGGTGTCACACGTCGAGGGACACAGAAGGAGGAGTGTCCTTCCCAGAAACAGGTGCCGAAGTCTATGATTGCATGCCTCGATTTCCGCGGTTTTTCTGCAGATGAAATAAAAGTGAAAGTCACAGACAGCGCCGTAGTTGTGTGTGGCCGACATGATGACCCCGAGAACTCCTTCCGGGTCACTAGAACACTTCCGCTGCCACCTGGTGTTGACAAAACGGGAATTATCTGCCGATATGTTGACGGCAAGGTCACCCTTGAGATACCCGCCTCCGCGAAAGACAGCGTGGAGGACAAATCGGAGAGGCAAGAGGATGAGAAGAAAGTTGAACACAAAGAGGAGAATATCAAAACTGACCCTACCAGGACAAGTAACGCGGGCGATGATGATGACGATGACGATGGAATGGGAATAGATAGGGAAGCCCAAGCAGCTTTTCAAGTAGGCATGGAACATCTGACGGGACTTTTTTCCAGCATCTTTGGTCTTCCTCCCGAGGAGAAGAAAGATTTGCTCCATAGGAGTCCTGATGAGAAAGAAGAACCTGCTGAACAGACAAACACAGGTCTAGACAGAGATGAACCTCGCCCGGAAGACGACAACACGACGGAAACAGAGTCCTTGGGCGATCTAACGGATGTCGAGGAAGAGAGAAGCGAGGAAGAGAAAGGGGAAAAAGGAGATACCTGCCTAATGTTGAAATATGACGAGAAGATGTCTCTCACAGATGACGCTGATGACTTCCTGCACGTGGAGAAACAGACGACAGGTGACAGTGCTCCAGAGCAGACGACAGTCCGTATAATGCCCGAAGACGAAGATGTAGCCCGACTGACGTCTGATAGAGAGGAAGATGTTCCGAAGACAGAGGTCGAAGCCGAGAATAAAGTTCCCGTCTCCTCAACATCACCAGATTTCGAAATTCGGTTCGATCTGTCCAGCTACAAACCAGACAACATCCGGGTAGTTGTAAGAAGTGGTGACGTCATCGTGGAAGCCGAGCGCGAGAGCAAGTATGACGGTTACAGCGAGACTGAGACACTGCGAAGGCGCATTCGTCTCCCGGACAAAGTGGACCAGTCCATGTTGACGAGTGTCCTGAATGCAGAAGGCGAGATGACCATTCAGGCGCCATTCCTGTCTCAGGCCATCAGTGGGAAGGAAGAGAAAACTGTCCCGGTTATTTGGGAGTGATTTGAGATCGTGGAAAGTTCATGACGGATATATGGATCTCAGTATTCGACCAGTTGAGGTTGTCTTATCACATTGCTGACTCAATATTTATCTAAAAGCTTATACGTATTTATCAATGTATGTACATAAATCATATCAACAAAATATGCGTCTTCATAAATACTTACTGTTACTGAAGAGATAATCAGTTCTATGATAATGGTGTTATATGACACTGAAGGATAACAGACGTTAAAGTGTACATACTTTCTAGCATTCCCCTGTACATAATCCTATAATTTCCCAAATTACATACCAAATAGCCATTTATCTTTTAAGCTTCTTTTAAGTTACATTTGTATTGTTGATACGTGTATCGTGTTTCACAAAGTAATAAAATGACATAATACATTCATCCACAGCCTGAGGTTTTTATTTATGTGTTGCAGGAGCTCGGTGATATGAAGACTTGTTTCCATTTAATACACACACTATATACTTATGTAAGATAAGTACGCGATAACTCGCAAAGAATAATGAAAACGAAGCGTGGTTTATTTCACGTTAAATAGACATTAATACACGAGTGTCTGCCAGACACCATTTATCTTACAATGCGCTGTTTCAAAGCGCAACAAACGAGCGAAAGAAAATGTTTGTTTGTTTGTTGCTCTACGCCGCACTCAGCGAATTTCCAGCCATATGACGGCGGTCTGTGTAAATAATCCGAGATATCGCTGTGAGGAGCTTGAGAACGGTCATGAGTGGCGTCATCCGACGTACTGCTTACTCGAGAAGATCCGGGGTTGAATAGGTCTTCAGCAACCCGTGCTTGCCATAAAAGGCGACTAACGGGATCGGGTGGTCAGGCTCGCTGACTTAGTTGAAGCATGTCATCGATCCCAATTGCATGGGTCCCGTGAAGATCCGGGGTAGAATAGGTCTTCAGCAACCCATGCTTGCCGGAAAGGGCGACTATGCTTGTCGTAAGAGACGACTAACGGGATCGGGTGGTCAGGCTCGCTGATGCATGACATCGTATCCGAATTACATGGATCGATGCTCCTGATGTCAATCAGTGTGGTCCAGACTCGATTATTTAGCCGTCATATATAGCTGGAATATTAATGAGTGCGGCGTTAAACAAACAAACAAACACACAAACTGCTTACTACTCAAAACTAATGTCACTCTACGTGTAATGGTCTGTGGATTATCAAGGCGATGATGATAATGCAAACTATATAAGATCAAAGAACATGTTTTAACCCGCTGGATGCCGAGATATTTTCTGACGCACGTGTACATTTTCCTGTGAATAATAATTTTCACCTTAAAGAAATAACCAAATATGTGTAACAATGTTTACTTCCGTATGACATCACTACCAATGACCGACTTTTACAAAATGGCGTGTTCACTGACAACAGTACGCCGTATTTACAGAGGAGGATTTTCGTTGATTGAGGTGTATTTACATAAATGTGTCATGTAAGTAATCAGAAACATTCTGACAATTCTGCGTACTTGTTTGTTTGTTGTTTAACGTCGCACTCAGCATTATTCCAGCTATATGACGGCGGTCTGTAAATAATCGAGTCTGGACCAGACAATCCAGTGATTAATATCATGAGCATCGATCCACGGAATTGGGATCGATTACATGCATCAACCAAGTCAGCGAGCCTGACCATCCGATCCCGTTAGTCGTCTCCTACGACAAGCATAGTCGCCTTTTACGGCAAGCACGGGATCTTCACGGGTCTATATGCTGCCTTCGAGGCTCAGTTCAGGAATGTAGCTAGACAGTCACGCTTAACTGACCAGCAGTGTGCAGTGATGCTGGGTTGCGCTCTGGAAGGAGCAGCACAGGTGTTTATGCAAGTTTACCTGAGCGAAGTCGCTACGATTACCAATGGCTTGCCGATACTCTTCGGAGACGGTACGGTAGTAGTTTACCTGATGTTAAGCAGGAAGAATGACTAAACCGGAACCGCAAGCCTGGGAAATCAATAGCAGACTTGAGAGATGATATTTGGCGACTTGTCCAGGAAGTCTATCCGGATCTGGATGATGGCCTCTAGGAGAGATTGGCGCTAGATGCTCTCAATAGAGACTAAAGACAAAGATCTCCGTCTCCGATTCCTTAAAAGGGTGTTTGCACGCTACAAGGAGCAGTTGGTGTTGCAGAGATGTACGAGTCTGTGTTAGGCGGACCAAACTGTCGGACCACTCAGCGATCTGTGAGAGCCACTGCATATCCACAACCTACAGGGAGAAAAGTACATTTTAAGTCGCCTGAGAGAATTGTCGAGAATACAGCTGAACCCTAAGCTTATAGACTCAAGTGGACAGCTGGAAGGCGCGGCAGAGGCGCAACCACAATATTTTCTCACAGCTGATTCACAGCGAGCTATTGCAATGATTAGACCTTGTTTCAAAATAGGCGATGAAGGCCAGTTAATGAATGTCAAACTTGGTAACACTTACTTTACCTCGTTAGTGGACACTGGTAACCAGGTGTCTTGGATATCTTCTAGATCTTACAAGCGTCCTCCTCGTTCTGGCGCACTGAGTCCTATTGCTTTGTTATTGGAAACCGTTAATGGAACTTTGTTTCCTGTGAACGGAATATTCAAGGCACTGCTGACTATAAGTGAGGACATGGAACCTACTCAGGAAGAATGTCTTGTAGCTGAGATTGAGTACTCGTTCGAAGTTGATGGTATTTTGGTCATGGACATACTCACTGTTCTAGGTGCTGTTGCTGATCTTGCAGATCACAAGATCAAGTTACAGGGAGTTTGGTTACCTGCTTTTGCAGCTGATAGAACTGCAATAGTAGCTGATGATACCTTGGTCCCACCGCAGTCAGTGTCTTATGTTAAACTGTCCTTACCGGGTATTGAACAGAACACTAAGGATGTTCTTGTCGAGCCATGTAAGGAGATATTAGTACAAAGTGGCCTTCTCATGGGTTGTGGTGTTGTCAACTGGGCTAGCGCAACTTATGTTAAAGTCATTAATGTGACATATAACCATTACTCCTACCTCTGGTAGAATTTTGGCTCAATGTCAAAGTGTTACTTTGCCTTTAAACGAAACGATCAAGAAAGTTGCAAAACTTAATGTCAAAAGTGCCGTCATTCCCGATTATCTGAAACATCTCTTTGAAAAGAGGGCGGGTAAGAAGGGGGGATCAGCGAAAGCCTCTTCCTCTTGCTCTGCCCTGTCTGTCCAAACGTCACAGGCTGTTACTGAACCCCAATGTGAGAAACAAATTGATTCTGTTCCTCTTTCATGTTCACCTTCAAAAAGGCCATCCATGTCTGATCTACAGATAAAAATTTCAGCACTTAGGGAGCGCAATACTGTGTTGCAGCAGGCTCTTGCCGCTCGCCATGGTGCACATTGGCCATCCTGCCTTGATATCCCCACAAACAGGCCCAAACTAGATGAATTCATTGCCAAGGGCTGGGAGGCAATGGCCGTGTAACAGTCTGCCGAGGGTAGGCGATTCCAGCAGCAGCTTGACCAGCGTCGCGCTGCTGATGCCTTTATCCGAGGTATGGCACATGGCAGTGGCAGCCAGCTGACACTGTACTTGTAGATTTTCTTTCCATTTTTTTAAAATAAAGGCTCTTATCTTTTCTGTTATTGATCTTATCTTTTCTCTCTTGATTTCTTGTTGATTGGTTCATGTGGAAAACAGACGCAAAAAGACAATACATGCTTATTAAAGAACTGTGTTTCAAGGAACTGAACTTTGAAGAAACGAAGAATTGTATTTCACAGAGTATTGATTTGTGTTTTACCGACATATTTCCCTGTGAATGACTACCTTGTGATAATAAGAAATGTGATTTCATAATATAAGGATATGCATCGTAACTTTTGGATTCAATTTTTTTATACATGTAAGTATACTGACCCGCAAAAGAAACGTCACCCCAAGTAACACTGCATGGAAAGTTGTCATTTAAATATCTGGGTAATATTTGTCTAAGTTTCTAAAACTTAATATTACCTTGTCCGGAAAAATGAAATTTGATGATAAAAACCCCAAAGAAGATGACAATAAAACCGATCGCCCAAACGCACATGCGTCCCCCATTCCTTGCCCTCTATAAATCCACCCAGGTTGGATAACATTCATTCGTTACTGAATTGCTACCACATGCCAAGATTGACAAGAAATCAATGGTGTCACATCAGCTTGGTACATTGAACAAGACCCGTGAAGATTCCGGGGTAGAATAGGTCTTCAGCAACCAATGCTTGCCATAAAGGGTTAATATGCTTGTCGTGAAAGGCGACTAACCGGATCGGGCGGTCATGCTCGCTGACTTGGTTGATGCATGTCATCGTATCCCAATTGTGTGGATCGATGCTCATGATGTCAATCATCGGATTATCTGGTCCAGACTCGATTATTTACAGACCGCCGTCATATAAGATTCTGGGGTAGAATAGGTCTTCAGCAACCCATGCTTGCCGTAAAGGGTTACTATGCTTGTCGTAAAAGGCGACTAACAGGATCGGGTGGTCAGGCTTGTGATATTAATCACTGGGTTGTCTGATCCAGACTCGATTATTTACAGACCGCCGTCATATAGCTGGAATATTGCTGAGTGCGGCGTTAAACAACAAACCAACCAACCAACCAAATCTTGAGACCACACGCCATGCCTCATTTGGCACGCCGCCGCAACCATGAGTTGCAGCATTTTAACGCCCGTGCCCACACTGCGAGAGCAACAAGAGACTTCCTCCAACGGAATGGCATCAGAACCATGCAGCGGCCTACCCTCCGTCCCGATTTAAATCCCATTGAGCACCTGTGAGACGAGATTCAAAGACGGCTGAATGACGTCCGACCAAGGCTGACAAATGCAGCTGAACTGCGTCAGGCGTTCCTCAGAGTTTGGGCTCAAGTGCCAATGGCCTTCATCAACAGCCTCATTCATTCCATGTATCGACGTTGCACGGCAGTCATCGATGCACATGGCGGACACACGAGATACTGACTTTTCCATTTTCTCAGAGACAAGTGTTGTGTTTCACTTTAAGAAATTTGACACTTTAACTTAAACCTTGATGATCAGTTTTGCCAAGTTTCATCTTTTTAATACGTCTCAAAGTATGTTTACAGTGTTTGGACATATAAGGTATCTCATATATCATCCATGGTGACGTTTCTTTTGCGGTTCAGTATATCATAGATATGTGTCCATTGACAATTATCAAGTTAGGAGTTATAATTGTATGTATATGATGTATTATAACATGTATTAGGTTGAATTATTGATATTGTTACACAACAAACCCCATTCGTCAACTGCCTGTTACCTTGTAAGGGCCAACTGCCAGAGAAAAAAACAACATGAATATCTATCTGTGAAATAGTGGTATAGATCTTAA